AGTTTTAATTTCTGAGTTCATTTTATTAGGGTGACTATTACAGGACTGTGCATACAAACCAGGTGTTACTGCCTAATATGCCTGTATTATCCAAAGCCAATCATCTCAGTGTAGACCACTAATGTCCAGAGAAATTACAAGATGTGGAGGCACTACAGGTGGAAAGGGGCATTTGTGCTTCGGCCTGATACAATGCATCTTCTTACCTCAATTTTAAAACATACAATTGAAATACCATATGCAATGAAAGTACTGAACATATTCACGCAATGGTAGCCATTGCGTGAGGGCAGCAGAAGTATACTACATTGTATCTGTACAGTACAATTTATCCTCAGAGACATAAGCTTGTAGATGAAGGAATGTGTACTGAAACTATGGTGTTCGTGGTCAGATATGAAATGGGTGTGCTTCAAATAATATCACTGATAACTGTAATTTAATGGGATCATTGTTACACAAACACATGACTTAAGTTGTTTACATGTTAACAATGTTTGCACACTGTGCCTTGAATACAGCTATCATGTGCACAAATTCCAGGAGATACATGTGCCTCTATTTTACAATGTGATTGCCCTGTGTTTGTTGAAGGCCCACCAAGGAAGAGAGCCCAGAGGAGAACCACATGCCAACAGAGTGGGAGAAGGAGATGCTGGCGACTCTACGGGAAAGATCAGCAGCACCGGTTCCAAACTACACCGAGGACCATTACTTCCTGCTCTCTCTCTTTCCTCTCCTGCAAAATGTGCCGCCCCAGTCCAGAGAACATGTGAAATTCCAGATGTACAAACTTTTATATGAAAGCAGCAACGTTCTGCTTAATTTGGAACCATTGGGCAGTACAGACAATTCTCTGACGTGAGGTGACACCTTTTGCAGGGGAGGAAACACATGCGTGTCCTTCAATCTTCCACCGCACCTCCTCCAAGCAAGCTCCTTTTCACATCTGTACATTTGTAAATGTGTTTATGTATTTCTTATTTGCCATTTATAAAGACATTTTGAAAACACAATTTTGTACTACTTCATGACCACCATCACCTTCTATATAATTAATACTGACAGACGATGCTATTTCCAATAATTGTACGCATATACTCTTATAAAGAGCTGACTGGGTTTATAGAAGGAATAATTAACACTGTTGAAAAAGACGAGCGATAAGGTTATTGACAGAATGATTTATTACACCTTATTCTGTTAATACAACCTTGTAATTCTGGAACAGCTTGAATGTGCATGTTGTGATTAACCTGACGTCGGAGTGAAGTCGCAGTGGAGTCTGGCAGTAATTACCTATGAACAGAGGGTACAAGTGAACAGAAAAGTGCAAATCACTATGGACAGACACAATGTATACAGTTTAATAATCAAGGGACTTATGATATACGATATATATATTATATATATAATGATAGGAATGAAGTTAGGCTCTTTATTTTGTGGGTGGCTCTTAAAAGCAGCAGTGCTCCCTCCTCGCTGAAGTGGGCCATGAACACATTTCTGGTGGCCACTGCCTCTCTGGTGGCGTTGTTGGCGCCCATCCGCTGCACACCTGGAAGGGGTTCCACTCAAAGAGCAGCAGCTCCCCTCGATGCAGGTACCTGCCCATCTCCAGCCATCCTCATGAAGTTGTGAAGGACACAAGTGGCCTTCACACACTTCTCCACAACTTCTGGGGAGATTTCCAGTGGACGACGGAACATCCTCCACTGTGCAGACCAGATCCCAAATGCATCCTCCACCACCAACCGGGCCCGGGAGAGGCGGTAGTTGAAGGTGTGCTGCTCTGGGGTGAGGCCGCTACGTCCAGGGAAAGGGCGCATTAAATGGCGGCGCAGTGGAAAAGCCTCATCTGCAACAAACACATCGGGCTGGGGTCCTCTGTGGTCAGCTCCAGGTAAGCACTGGTCAGGGCCTGCAGTTCATCCAGAGTGATCATGGGCCTCTTGGCTGCATCTCTGATCAGTCTTCTCCTTGTTGGAGATGAAAGTTTGGAGGGATGCCCGGGTCTTGGTAGATTTGCAGTGGTCTGATTGTTAAGGATTGCGTGTTGGACCCCAAAGCAGAGACAGACTGAGCACGATTCAAGGAAAGTCTTTACTTGCAAAAAGTAAATAACAAAAACACAAGACAGGCAGTGGTGACATGGAGCTGGCTGGCTGCTCCGGAAAAAGGGAGACCTGAACACAGGACACAAAAAACTAGTGATGGGGTGTGCCGTGTCGGCGCTTCGGGGCGTGAGCCGAGAAATCCCTGAAGTTTTTATCGGAGCGCGAGTCGAAGCCTGAGTTGTTTTAGATGAGTGACGTCACCAATGACGTTTGAAGCCTCGGGAGCACAGGAAATGGAGAGATTCATGAAGTACTGCAGAGGAGCCGCTCAAACTTCGTGTGTTTGTCTTGATTAATTTCGTCAGTGATGGAGGCTCTGTAGTATAAACTGGTTGGCTCAATTGGTAGGGAAGTTCGAATCTTACCGGGAGCACTTTGATGTAGCAATCTGTGGTGGATGCCCTGGCACTCCTGATTCTCACTTGTAACGGACTGATATGTGCACTTTCTGATGGAGGGTCTGTTCTTTGATAGGGTCAGGGGTGTCAAAACTCACTACAAGTCGGAGACTAAATTCATGAAAAATATATTTTTTTAGACTATATTGGGATAACACGGTAGCCATATTTTTCTTAGTGAAAACGGGGTTTGTAAGGCCATCAAACTTTGGTTTTCAGATCACCAGGGTACAGGGAGACCACGACAGTTTAACATGATTTATTACAAAATGACTAAAACTAGGGGGGGATAAAAATCGGGTTAAAATTGGGGGGAGAGGCTGGAGTCAAAAAATCCAGGGTCCAGAGACCCAAGCTCTGTTTCACACCAAGCAAAGAGTAAGTATAAGGGCAAGGAGCATGGCAAAATGAAATAAAGATAAGGTGAATTGTCTGCTAAATCAATTATAAGTAATGTTTGTGTAATATGGACTGACCTGTTTCACACAAAGCAGGGAGAAAGTGTAAAGAAGGAAGTCAATGATCTACCTGAAAATGGAGTTTGGACGCGTATAGCTGGGAGAGCTTGTCTTGGAGCAGAGATGGCAGGATGGTAGTAATGGGCTAACAATACCGATGCTATCAAGCTGCTTTGAAACACTGCGTTGAAGCAATACAGTCGTCAGTATCTCGGACACTGCTGCCACTGCTTTGCTTTGTGTATCAACTGTAGCAGTATTTTGAAGCGTTTCATTAGCTCAATAAGTTTCCTGGCCTCAGATTGGTTCAGAGCGTTTTGATACCCCTCCATAGTTTGACAGCTTTGGGTGGAACTGGAAGGTTATGATTTATTTAAACAAAATCGGACAAACAAAAAGGGGGGAGGAGTTGCCCTCTTTGTAAAAAACGGTATAAAATGTAACATTATTAAGGATGACATTTGCTGTAGATGAGCTACTGGAGTGTGTTTCTGTTGAGATACAAACGGAATTGGTGAAGAAAAATATTATAATTAGCTGTATCTATAGGACTCCTGGATCATTTATTGATGAATTTAATGGAAAATTATCTGAGTTATACTGTAAACAAAGTCTTTTAGTATGTGGTGATTTTAATATTGATTTATTGAAATCCGGTGAACACATAAAAATAATGGTTTTTTTAAACAATGTGTTTGGTTTGGGTATGTACCCTTTAATATCAAAACCAAGCAGAATTACAAAGGACAGCGCTACATTGATTGATAATATATTTCTCTACTTAATGGACAGAAATATTCAAAGTGGACTACTTTTAACAGATATAAGTGATCATTTGCCAAGATTCATAGAGTAGATAACTATAAAGTAGAGCGAATTAGACACCAAGAAAGCATTGAGGCCCTTAAAGTTGAGCTCTATAATTATGATTGGAGTGAGGTTTATGTTGAAGATGTGAATGAATCATATAATGCTTTTCTCATAACCTTTATGTCACTGTATGATCACTTTTGTCCAGTGAGGGAGGTCAAATTAATACACAAATGGAAACTAAATCAAAAACAGCCACAAAAACCTCAAACAACGTTTCACTGATCAAAATTCCCTGAAGTCATTTTGACGGTGCATGTGTTGAGATGATGTGGAGCGATTTTGAGGCCAACCGGTGAAACGGCCGAGGAGGAGTCGCTTTCCAACCGACATGTATGAAAATGATTTATTTTCATTTTTCCATTTTGCAATGAAATTTATGGGCTTCCTGTTTGTCATGGGGCGTGGCCATAATAACTTTGGCCACGCCAAAGGGCAGGGGTTTTCATGTTTTGACTTGAGGAACATGTGTACCAAATGACATGGCTCTACGACAATTTTGACCTCCACCCCCTCCCATAGGCGTTTTTAAATATGCTGTTGTAGGTGGCGCTAATGAGCCAATTTCAATTTTTTTACTTTCAAATGACCTAAACCCTAGAGATAAACCATAGATTCAAGTTTTGTGCAAATCGGAATTTGTATGTCCCAACGGGAGCAAATAGTATGTTGTCAAAAACGGCCAATAAAAACTTAAAAAGGGCATGTGTAACCCGTATTTCCTAATATGATATTTTTATATGTATTATGGCTGCCCAACATTAATAATATTTTATGAATATTGCGGCCCAATAAATGCATACAGCGTCAGCGCTGCTTCCCTCTAACCTGCGGGGTCATACCAGGTCATTCCCCAATCCCCCCGCCCCTTCCTTGACGGCTCTCTGTGACTGTGGCCTGTGGCGTGCGTCTGGCTTCTCGGCGTTTATTGCCTTTTACCGCGCTGATTTTGCCTCATATTATCTTTTACGTTGAATCTCCGATCCAGGGTGAGTCCATATACAAGTTGTGGTCGTATTATGTGCTGCATATCTTTGTGAGCGCTCATGATCGCGTAACTTTCAGAGTATCAGCCAGTGTTTGTTAGCGGGGCTAACAAACCCAACAAACTACTCTGCCTGACATCATCCCACTTCGAATCTGACTCTGTACCTTCAATGGTGAGTTACTTTACAGCAGTTCGGGTTGTCTCTTTTGTGTTTAGCGAGTGATCTTACGTTATATGATAATGTTCAGTTTTGTTTGGTGGTAACCTCGCTGCCGCTCCTATTCAAAACTCCATTTACACACGGTCACTATTGTCCCTGTTTTACATGCGTCCGCGACGCACCAAGCATCGCGTCCAGCATTTAGATTGAGCTATTTTTAGTTCTGACTACGTGTGGAAACCTTGCCGTACTGTAGTAACGCGGCAACCGGTTTCCATCCTTTGTTAATTTGATATTTTTAACGTAGCTACGTGTTTATTTTTGATCGTTGCGCAACTTGACTGACTCTGCTTGAGTATTTGAGTACTATTTTTTTTTATCTCTGCTCAAATAATCTATATAAGAGTATTTAATGAATTACTTGAGTATGTATTTAATGAATCAAACTGATTTAAAGTGCACTTGTTTTGAGATGTAGGTTCCTGAATCGAAGAACATTTATGATATTGATCAGCTATTTAGTGGTTGATTTATGATTTGGCTTTTGTTATAAATAATATAACTTTAGCATATTTTACATAAAATATGTACTTTTATTTTGGAACAGTTACATATCGAAATATGTATCTACATTTACTCTTCTATGTACATTCCACATGTACATCATGTACCTTTTCAGTAGAATAGTTTATTTATACAAATGCTTATTTTGTGTTTTTGTTTGTTTTGACCTTTCCAGGTCAGGCTTTTGTTTTACGTTGGATTATTGCAACGGCTCTTCGACCAACTGCAATCACCTTCTGATGGCGAGCTATTGTTCTACCTGAGTGGTAGGATCTTGCATACTTGAACTTTTCTGAATCCCAAAAAGGAACTCTAAAGACTCTAAAAGGAACTTAAAGTACAGTTATGAGCCCACCATAACTGAATTGAACTGACCTACCAAAGGACACTTTTTGTTTTTTGTGTTTTGTTTTTGTATTACAAATATTTCCTTATTTCTGCCCTATTTATAGCAACACATGTAAATAATATACTATCGTTATCGCATACCTCGCCTATATTTATAGAATCTGTGACTTCAATCAATATATATATATATATACTTTTCTAAAAGCGCAATTGATTTTGTCTGTTTCATTCACACACCCTGGCTCCTTGGCCGAATCTACTTCTGGTCAACCTAATTGTTCACTCCGCTACTAGCCTAGCGTTACACATGGCCGCAATAAAATGTTTTTTTTGTCTTGACTTGAGGAACATGTGCACCAAATTTCATGGCTCTACGACAAACTTGACCTCTGAAACTCTCATTGGCTGTAGGTGGCGCTGTTCTGGCATTTTTTTAGTCCCATAAAAATAAACACCAAATATACATTTTCTCACCAGGTCTGATGTTTGGGCAAAATTTTATAACTTTTCATGCATGTTCAGGGGGTCAAAATGCAGAATTTGACATCTCTCAAGCAAAAACAATAGGCCTTTTCCAGTTCGGGGCTTGGGCCTAATTATATAAAACATTCATTAAACAGCCAACCTAGAAAAATGAAGAAAAGTAAAAACTTTATAGAAATAGATTGATAACCAAAATTTCCACGACAGAAGGTGAACTATTATGGCACGCTGTTGCAAAAGTATAAATCTAATGTTAAAGAAACTTGGGGTGTAATTCAGGAGGTAATTGATCAGCATCATCTCAAGGATCAATTTACATACATAGTCAAAAATGATGGCAAAGAAACAAATCATGTGCAAGAGATCGCAAATGAATTTACATTTTTTACAATACATTCTTTGTCAATGTTGGTCCAAACTTGGCTAAACAAATACAACATACTCATGCTGCAGAGGCCTCTTTTGACAATAACAACAATTCCATGTTTTTTAGGGCAGTATGTGAGAGTGATATTATAGAAGTGGTCAGAAAATGTAAAAATAAGAGATCAACTGATTGTAATAATATTGACATGTCATTGATAAAAGTGGTAATTCATAGTATTGTTAAGCATCTAACATACAGTGCCTTGCGAAAGTATTCGGCCCCCTTGAACCTTTCAACATTTCGCCATATTTCAGTCTTCAAACATAAAGATATAAAATCTTAATTTTTTGTCATGAATCAACAAGTGGGACACAATCGTGGGGTGGAATGAAATTTGTTGGATAATTTAAACTTTTTTAACAAATAAAAAACTGAAAAGTGGGGCGTGCAATGTTATTCGGCCCCTTTACTTTCAGTGCAGCAAACTCACTCCAGAAGTTCAGTGAGGATCTTTGAATGATCCAATGTTGTCCTAAATGACTGATGATAAATAGAATGCACCTGTGTGTAATCATGTCTCCATATAAATGCACCTGCTCTTCGATAGTCTCAGAGTTCTGTTTAAAGCGCAGAGAGAACCATGAAGACAAAGGAACACACCAGGCAGGTCCGAGATACTGTTGTGGAGAATTTTAAAGCCGGATTTGGATACAAAAAGATTTCCCAAGCTTTAAACATCTCATGCAGCCAAGAGGCCCATGATCACTCTGGATGAACTGCAGATAACTGACTGAAATGTGGCGAAATGCTTACTACTGCAATGCTTGCCGAACACTTTCGCAAGGCACTGTATGTCTGCAACAGATCTTTTACAACAGGAACCTTCCCTGAGAAAATTAAGCTGGCCAAGGGGCTCCCAATCATTAAAGATGGTAAAAAGCACTTGTTAACCAACTACAGACCAATCTCCTTTTTCTATTTTCTAAATTTCTAAAATACTGGGAAAATTATTTGTCAAACAACTAGACTACATCCCCAGCAGTCATGGACATGATAGAAAATGTAACCTCCGCTGTTTACAAAAAGAAAATACAATTGGAATATTTATAGACTTGCAAAAAGCATTTGTCACCATTGATCATAAACTACTTCTAGAGAAATGCAATGGTTATGGTATCAGAGGTGTGATGAATAAATGGCTTGGGAGGTACTCTAATAATAGACGTCAATATGTCCAAATTAATATGACTAAATCACATTCTGAAACCTTACTTTGTGGAAACCCCCAGGGGTCTGTTTTGGGGCCTAAATTATTTACTCTTTATTTTAATGACATCTGCAAAGTATAAAAAATACTGAAGTTAGTGATTTTTGCAGATGATACTAATTTGTTTTGTTCAGGGTATGACATGAATAAGTTAATTGAACAGGTTGAAACCGAGTTGACTTTAGTTAAAAAATTGTTTGACTTAAACAAGTTATCATTTAATGAGAAAAAAACAATGTATAGTTTTTGGACCCAGTAGAGCTCATTCTAATTTAAGATTGTACTGGAATGGAATTGAAATAGAGCGAGTCAATGAGATAAGATTCTTAGGGGTGATTATTGATCACCAGATTAGCTGGAAACCACATATACAATATGTCAAGAGTAAAATATCAAAAACGATTGGAATACTTTCTAAAACTGTATTAGTATGTAACTGTATGTGTTAGATATTAAATCTCTGCATATAGTATATTCATCACTTGCGCTTCCCTATCTGTCTTACTGCTCAGAAATCTGGGGAACCATATAGATCCTATAATTAAAGTACAAAAAGGGCAGTACTTTTAATAAATGGGTTATCGTGACTACTAATCAACTTTTTATAAAACATAACATGCTAAAATGTATGGACATAGTCAAGTAAAAAATTCTATAAATCTTATTCAGAGTTGTAAAAAACAAAGATATTCCTGCAGGTCGCTATAATCTGAGAGGTTAGCTTCAGTTGGAAACAAGAAAATCCAGACCTAACATTAAAAATAGATGTGTGTCTGTCATTGGAGTAAAAATGTGGAATGATCTTAATGACCAGCTTGAGTTAATTAATACATTATCAATATTTAAAACTACCTTAAAATGTGAAATAGTAATTTCATATACAATGCCTTAAAAGTAATGATGATGATAATAAAAATATAACAAAAAAAGAAAAGGGAACAAAAATAAAATAAAATAAAAAACAATGTTGGGAAGTGTTGGGATCAACTCTCTGTGGGTTGAACCCTAACACATAACACTTCTGTTGGCCCCCCTCACTGACTGATCAGTTGTGACCCGGGGGTGACATCACTGCGGGTTGCTGGCTTGTTACTAGCTTGCTCTGTTGGTGCACCAACTCATATGGAGAACATGTAGCGATCAGGCCTAATGCTAATGGCCAGAGGCTTCATCTCTCCTTCTCGCTCCAACCATCTCTTCTTTGGGGTATGATTGCTGTATGTTATGTATGTTGTAACTGCTTAGTGTCAAACGTCCTCTGTTTATCTATTCGGTTTGGACCTAGTATGTAAAGCAATGGTTTGTAAAGAGCGATCCTTGGTTTGGCATAATTTTGGATCTTCACTACTTCCGCCTTCTACAATTGCAGACATGTCTCTGACCGCTCCTGCCCTGACTGCTTGCACTATCTTGTTTTTTGTCTTCCACCCCCCCCCCCCCCCCCCCCCCCCCCCCCCCACTGATTCAGAGTTGGTGTCTAAATGTCCTATATACAGATGTCCGCATCTTGTTTTAGCAATGAACTGTTTTGTTTGTGTGGATGGATCTGTTTTTGCTGCAACTGTACACCTGATCTTCTCCTAAGGGAGATCAATAAAGTATCTATCTATATATTTATCAATCTATCTTACTCAGAGAACTTCAATCTTGATAACAGCTACAGGTTTTGAATTGTATATAACTATTTTTTTTACAGAAAAGCTTACAAGAAATCTTACATACATTACTGTGTTTCATAGGGAGTGAAAAGGAGCGATCTGTCTTCAAGTACGCCATCACTCGAGATTACAGTACACCAGACCATCAAACAGTGAAGAGTCGGACTCTGAGGACGACAATGAAGAGTCTGCAAACACTGGAGACAACAATGATTCCACAGAAAACTCTAGTTCAGCTGTGAACAAGGAAACACCAGGAGGTGGTGTGACTGAGCCAAACACTGGGGACAACGGTGGTCCTGTAGAAAACTCTACTACTGCTGTAAATGGGGAATCAACAGGAGAAGGTGATGTGGGCAGGCCATACACAGGAGAAAATGATGGTTTCACAGAAAACTCTACTTCAACTATTAGCGGTGAAACACCAAGAGGCAGAGTGACTGAGCCAAACACTGAAGACAACGAAGATCCTACAGAAAACTCCAGTTCAGCTGTCAACGGGGAAACACCTCGAGGTGGTGGGACTGGGCCATCGCCGAACGAGACAGGGAACTCGAACGTTAATATCTTTGAGACCCTCCACCAATTACCATGAAAATCAAAGAGGTAAAAAAATTTTGTTAGCCATAATTATTCTCTCACAAGCATTACATCTAGCTGTGTAATTGTTCCATATTATTACAACAAATGTATTCATGCATCATCTCCTATGATTGCCTACAGCCACAATATTTTATGAAAGTCTTGCTAAGACTGACTTACAAAATGCGTTTAAAAATATTCAATACTTGAAGTGGCACATATTTTAGGTGTTTCCAGTGCTGAGGATTCAGCACATATTCCTGCTTCCCTGTGTGTTTATGTGAACAGCAGAAAGAGACACAAAGAAGTGCATATTCAAGTGTGGCCTATATGTTGACAAAATGTACATTCTTTTCAAATTTTGCTAGTGGGGTTTGTGTACTATAACTTCCTTAGTTTAAACAGGAAAACAGAAATACTTACCTTTGGGACTTCTGACCCTCTGCTGAACTGTGACAGTGCTATAGGACCTCTTATGGTTTATGAAAAGCCCCACGCCAGGAATCTAGGATTTATTATTGACAGCCATTTTAAATTTGATAAGCAGATAAATGCTGTTCTTAAAACAAGTTTTTATTATCTCAGAGTTCTTAGCAAAGTAAAATCTTATATTCCACATGCCCATTTTGAGAAGGCCATTCATGCTTTTATCACTTCCAGGTTTGATTATTGTAACTCTCTCTATGTCGGCATTGACCAGGCCCAGCTCAGGCGCTTACAGGGCGTGCAAAATGCAGCAGCCCGTCTTTTAACAGGGACAAAGCGCAGGGAGCACATCACTCCTGTTTTGCAATCCCTGCACTGGCTCCCGGTATATTTTAGAATTCATTTTAAAATTCTTATTATCGTTTTTAAAAGTTTTAATAGAATGGCACCTTCTTATTTATATGAACTCCTCCAGCCTCACCTTCCCTCCAGAGCACTGCGCTCTGCAGATCAGCACCTTCTTGTCGTCCCTAGGACCAGGCTGAAGACCAGAGGAGACAGAGCTTTCTCTGTTATAGGGCCAAAGTTGTGGAACTTTTTACCTTTGCACATCAGAACTGCACAATCACTCGAGCACTTTAAATCCCTGCTTAAAACGCATCTTTTTTCTTTGGCTTTTACTACCAAGTAGACAGAGACAAATTTTTCGATTTCTTTTTGTATATACATTTCTGTATTTTATGTGTTTTTATTTTATAATTTTTCCTCGCTGTCTGTTCAGCACTTTGGTAAGCCTAGGCTGTTTTAAATGTGCTCTACAAATAAAGATTTGATTGACTATACAGGAGTGCTTAATAGTCCAACAAGTAATATATGTTGAACTATTTATTTTAACCCAACACTATTTTATAGTATTTCAACAATATTGTTGAAATACAAGACATGTAAATGGGTATATTGACAAGCTACTTTAAATGTGTCAAATATCACCAACTGTCACACACCATATAATGTTTGCATTCTTAGATGATAGGATAGAAGATCTATTATCTTTTGACTTTACTGAATACATTTAAACCTGCTTCCCCTCATGTCATCTCTGTCCTTCACGTTTTGGCTCAGGAATCTACCTCACACCCAGTGCAAGAATCTTCATGGGAATTTAATGGTAGTTGATTTAGCAAGATAATGCTGATAATGGGCGTGAGGTGAGAGGACCTGTTCAGACGGGCACAGCTGGGTGCTTCTTGGATCAGATTTTGTTTATTTAGTGCTCTCAAAGGTAGTATGTGTCAAGGGCAGAAACCTTGCCTCATGTGTTGAATTTTTTATGCCCTAGCCAGTCAAAAGGTGGCTCATTTCTGTCCAGGGCCTGGCCAGAAATTAGCCACCTTTGACTGTACAAAGATTTCTATGACTTAAAGTTGATCATACAATCAGCAGCCACTTTTTATGATGCACTTTAAACCTTATGTTTTCTGCATACACCTTGTGTCCACTCACAATAACCCGCTTTTACTCAACTGTAAATATAAATCCTATTACTCAATTTTTTAACACCAAATATTTTTTACCTGAAAAACAAACATGCCAACAATCAAAAATGCAGTGTAAAATTGAATGTTTCCTATTCACGAAGACAAAAGAGGGATTTGGTGGATAGTTTAGGTACATTTTATTGCCCTCTCTGCATTACCCATCACTCCTCCTCCCAGGACTTAGGAGCAGAGGTGACTACAGCGTAGCACCTGGGGGTATATTGATGATCTTGGCCAGGGCCTGTCAAGTTACGAAAGTCATCAAAAATAAGCTCGAAAAGAAAAAGGTTGTCATGATTTCTTTCTTCTTTTAATCACTATGGTGTGACCTCAGAAAAATGCAAAGGGTTGAAAAATATACTGAACATATTTAGCAAATTTGTAGTAGTTTTTCAGTGATAACACACATCAAACTAAGAAAATACTGCTATGTATCATTGCATCATTATAGCCATAAACTTTTACATTTGTGATACTCTCTCCATGCAGGAGTACAAGTGCAAAGAAAACAGAACGTAGAAGACGATTTGCTAAATTTTGCTGTTAAAACATTGGACCTTTCCTCAGTCATCCTGTCTGTTTCTTTTTTCTTGAACGTGTTCTCATCGGTCCTTTGTTAAGTTGAACAAAAAACTAGTACACAATCACAAAAGATTATTTATTCTAATACATGAAATACCAAAAGAAACGTCCCAAGAACCAAATATGAATAACCATGAAGTGTGTCTCCAGGTGTCTAAGCTCATGAACGGAGAGGACGTGCAGATGAAGCTGGTGCTCCGCAGTGACGCCTCGGTGCCCAGACCAGTGTCCATCAACATCAGTGTGACAGCCATGAGCTATAACGGCATGCCTTTGGCCCCCATACAATCTGAGCTCAAGAAGGAAATGCTGCTCCCTGGCAAACGTATGAGCACATACTGCGATCACACTCGATAAGCACATGCAACAGTTTCCCGACGTCACATATTTATTACTGATGAGGTGACTATTGTATCACAGTAAACTTCTCAGAAAGCTTTGTTGGAGAACTTTGGAGAAGTATGATGAGGCCAGGTGCTCACCCATTATAGGATTTGTTTGTTTTTTTAAATCAGTTTGAAAAAGAAAGTTATGAGAGTCCTGGCTAGCAGTAGCAGGATTAATATTAAGAGTAGTAGTAAGTCATTGCAGTAAAAGAGTAATGCTCATTTACAGGGATAAAACGTCATGTATTTGCAGTACAATATAATATTACTCAAATGTGATTTGAGTTACACTACTTTGGCTGAATACCTCACCTATGCCGTTGTAGAGGCAGACATAAAATAAGATAAGATTAACTTTATTCATCTCACATTGGAGAAATGGACATCTCTTAGCTTTTAGCTATTTATCATCTTGTTTCTAAACATAAAACAAAATAAAACAGCAAAGCAGCAGGACTTTTTGTTTCATGTGAAGTACTGCACCCCACTTGTCCGTTTTTTTTTTTTAAATACACAATTAAGTATTTATCAATTTACTTTCACTTCACAGTTGTCTGTTACTTTGTTATGATCTTTGTTATTCTGTCAGTAATGTACTTGTGCCTCCCTGCAGCCCTGCATGTGCCTGTAGTAGTGGCCTTCTCTGAGTACTGCAAGCCCATGCTGGACAGTGAGGTGATGAAGATCTCTGCTGTGGTATCCGACACGTCCAGCCCGGATCAAGTTTACCTCGTGGAGAACGACCTGGTGTTACTGGACCCACCCTTAGATATAGAGGTCTGTCCACTCCCTATTTGAACAGAGCATCGAGCAATTTGACGTGCTCAAAGAAGCAGACCCAGGCCTGGCAAATTAACATACTATACTATTGGCTACAGTGTTAGCATAAAAGTGTTATGCATTCATGGTTCCATGTCATTAGCTTGTTATATAACTTTGCTATAACTTATAGTTTATTGGTGGCTGAGGGGTTCACATATTTTGATTACTTCTAAATATATGCACGACCTAACATTCCAGATAGAATGGCGCCCCCTCTTGGTTGTATGCAAGAACAAAAAGGGGCCTCCAAACATGTATCATAAAAACATGATTTCCGAGATATGTGTTGCCTGATACTGGTGACTCCTAAAAAGGAATGTATTTAAAACAACACTTTTACTGAAATAGCTTTTTGCTTACACAAAACTCAAACGTAAACACCAACACACAGATCAAGAACATGTGAGAGTACCAAATGAAACAATTTGAAAAACAAATAACACATAAGTTTGTCCACAGCACTGTTCCACGTGTTGATGGCCAATACAAGTCATAATTCTCTGGTGATACAGGGAGTTAGGGGGCCTCAATCTTTTTGGTGGCCACAAGCCCCGTCAGGAGAACCTTTGTTCTGCAAAGGCCAATAAGTTGATCCCTGAAGGTTGCATAAACCTCAAGTGGAATCCTTTGAGAGATTAGAGCATGTCCTGAACTGCTCAATCTGAGCTCAATCTCACCACGGTCAACATCGAATAAAATTAGATTGTTTTCTGATCATCAAGAACTCTATGCAACAATATGAAAGAAAAAAGGATAAATCAAATCCAAAACATGTCAATTTATATGTAATACAGGAGAATCCAATTAATCCATTACTTTTGTGAAGGTCTGAATAAGCTAAATTAAGTCCCTTTTAAACAATACAGTTTAGTGATCAGTGTGTTTGAGCCACCTTTATTACCTTGTATGCATGCTGCCATGGCTCCAAAAAACATCTGCCTTATTTCCATATTTTATTTTATTTTATTGTTTGCTTATTTTGGTCCATTGTGTGTTGCGCTTACAGCTGCTGAACGAGGCCCGGGTGTGGAGGGAGGCAGTAGTGGAGGTGGCGTTTGCCAACCCAGTAGATCAGACCCTGGAGAAGTGCTCTCTCACACTGTCAGGAAGTCCCACCCCCAAAAAACCCCAACCCTACAACAAACAACACCACCCCACAATCTCTCTCAAAAATTCCTCTCTCTCTCTCTCTCTCTCTCTCTCTCTCTGACTTATCTCTCTCTCTCTCTCTCTCTCTCTCTCCTCCTCTCTTCTCTCTCTCTCTCCTCTCTCTCTCTCTCTCTCTCTCTCTCTCTCTCTCTCTCTCTCTCTCTCTCTCTCTCTCTCTCTCTCTCTCTCTCTCTCTGCAGGTGTGCAGCAGAGCTCTGGGTGTTCCTGTGACAAAGATCCACATTTGTGAGACAAGCTCTCACTCTGTGGCTAACACCAGTCCGACCGCGGCCTCTGCCTCGTCAGACCTGAACGGAGCCGCCGTCCTCAAAGCGTGTGACATCCTGAACCAGAGACTGCTGCCCTACAAGGACCGGGACCCTCACGGCACCTGGGAGAGCTGGGTAAGGGCTAGACCACAAGGTTCATGGGCCTATACTTACCCCCAGCACCATGTTTCAGTTGTACAACAGAGAAAGTTTTAATGAAAACTGTTTATTTCCAGTGTAAGCACTAAATGTGCTAAAATCAAAAAGGACATTCATAATTATTATTAGTATTATTATTATATCTGTGCCAAAGTAGTAACTACAGATTAATTTTAAAATCTTTGAACATTTATACTGTATTGAATTTATTACATGAATTCAATACAGTATCAATATTGTGTATGTGTGTGTGTAAAGTTCAACATGTATTATAAGTGACATAAAACGTTTTAATATTACTCTCTTCAACAACCAATAACTTAAATTTGACTTATTCACAATAATCTGTAGAGTATGACAGCAGAGTATGTCAGACATGCTCTAAAGATTATAAAATTAGAATATTGAAAATAAGTCAGTTCATTGACATGTACTGTAGGAACTGAGAGTTAATATCTTATATTATATAATTTGAAGGGTTGACAATATTCTAGACAGTATGTCTGTATATAAAAGAGTATTAATACCAGTACTTTTTGCAGGTGAATGCGGCGTACTTCGACAGAGTGAATCTTAGTGCAAACGGCTTCTACAGGTCATACATCAAATATCACATTATTGAACAAAGGACTTTAGGGAATGTTTTCAACAATTGTATTTATCTTTCAGTTTTCAGATTTCATATTTTTGACTTTCAGGACTCCAGATCTGGGCTATGACTTTGAGACCAACTCGGGCCGCGCCTTTAACTATTTCAGTTATGGAGTCTGCTGCAGTGAGGTGGAGGTGGACTGTCTCACTGGAGTTCATAAGGTTTGCACAGCAACACTTGAAAACACATCTTAATGGTGTTTTCAATGGAATATTTTTGTGCAGAATCTGAGCACCACCATTGTGATGGACGTGGGCCACAGCCTGAATCCAGCTATAGACATCGGACAGGTGAATGTTATGTTTGATCACGTATTAGGGATGACAAAGCCTCACAGTCTTGGAACAGGATGCCAGTAAAGGTACAGTCAGATCGTGTTCAAAATATGTGTTTTTCTTTCAATCTTACACTATTATTGTTATTTGTATTACTATTATTTGTCCATCCATCCATCCATCCATTTTCTACCCTTTAATCCATTTCTGGGTCAGGGGGGTGGCAATCAGAGATGCCACCCAAGTCTCATAGCACCAGCCCCTCACTGACCCTCTGCAGGTGGTGAGTCCACAGGAGGACGGCTGCTCTTTGAGTGTGAGCATAGCCTTGATCTTTCAGTGGGGGCTTTGGGCAAAGTGGGGTTAAGTGTCTTGCCCAAGGACACAACGACAGCAGTCATCAGCGGGAGTCGGTGGAGAAGGTGTAGAGGTGGGAATTGAACCCACGACCTTCAGGCCTTAAGGCCAATTATTGCAATAATTTGTATTATTGCAATTACTATCATCATTATTATTATTTAGTTCATTTAAAATAAAGATGTAAATCACACTTGTAAATTAGCCTGGCTAACAGCACACTAAATTTCACTAGTGTATATGTAGTCTGCACTGTCTGTTCACTTTCTCATACTAGATGTGTGGTTACAATTGTCTGTAGCCGTTTATTGGGTACTGCAAATGTATATCATGCATCTGCAGGTATGCGCCAATCGTATCAACTTTACCCAGTAATGGATTTGTAGAGCAACAGAAATTCAAAAAGAAGGGAAGAGGATGAATGATATTTACACAATGGTTCCGAACAATTACTGCTGTTTATTCAAGTTAAACATCACGTCTGTTGCCATTTGCTGGATCTGTTAACAAACTACAGGCTAGAGCGTCATCATCATCTTGCCGTCCCTCCCTGTTCTGTGATTAGTCTAAATTCATGCAAAAAAATGTCCAGGCTGTTGTGCAATTCAAAATGATTTTAGCGCACAAAGTAGCATGCAGTGCCTCTCGAATGTATTAATAGAAGCTTGAACTTTTGCAAATTTTGTAATGTTTAACTCAAAAACATGACGATTTTTTGCAGTGTGTTTTACTGAATGTTCACACACAAGTAACAGACAACTGTGAAGTGAAAGTAAAATGATACATAATTCTATTATCATTTTAAAAATAGAAAAGTAAAATGTTGGGCCTGCAGTAGTATTCATTAGCTTTTTTCAGAGTACATTAAATTGCCTTTAAAATATTTCTAATGACTGCTGAATGTTCACACCTTGCCAAAATGATCACATAGAGGCCTCCTGTGTGTATCTACTTTCAGTGTAAATAGGGCTAGGGCCTCAGAGAGTTAGGATAAACTAAGATATCGAGCTCTGGTCAGAAGGGCAACCAAGTGACCCAAGATGACCCTGGAAGAGCAGCGGAATACTGCTGCTGAGCTGGGTGAATCTGTACATGGGAAAGCTATTCGTCATACTCTACACAAAGCTGGCCTTTATGAAGAGTGGCAATAAGAAAGCCATTTTTGAAAGGGATTAAGAGATCCTTTATTCGTCCCACAGTGGGGAAATTTCAGTGTTGCATCACAAGTTACAGAACTGTAGGAATGAGGAGCACACGGCACAAGATGAACAATAACTATACTAGTTAAAAAGTCTCTCTCTTTAACATAATAAAGAATAAAAAAAATCTCTTAATTTGGCAAAATAAGAAGCAAGTATAAAGTACTGTGTATTCTAGTGCAAGCAATATAAAGTTGTATGTTTACACCTGTGCATGTTAGCAGCATGAGGCTCTGGGACACAATGAAAAGTGACAGGAGGCCATAAGAAAATCTGTGGAAAGACCTGTAAAGTGCTGTTCACGCTCTTTATCTAATTTGACAGAGGTCGAGTTGTTTTGTACGGAGGAATGGGAAAACGTTTCTGTCTCTAGATGTGTAGTCAAACCCACAAAGATATGCTGCTGTTATTGCTGCTGCAAAAGGGGATTCCACAAAGTATCAACTCATGCTTTATGGTACTTGTGCAAGCCTGACTTTTCAGTTTTCTTGAAAAACCATGTACCATTTTGCTTTCGCTTCACTGTAGTCTGTCATTAAAAAAAAAAACTTAAGAGAGACACTGTAGGTATTGCCAGTCTGGAAGGAAATTTACTTCTGTATGATAATCTAATTTTATCAATACAGTTTTATACTGTAAGATTGTTTGATAATTTGTGTTTATGTTGGAAATATGTTAACAGTTGTTTGATACAAGTGCTTACTACATCCACACTTTTGTATATGTTTCCTCTCTCAGGTGGAGGGTGCCTTCATGCAGGGTGTGGGCCTTTTCACTCTGGAGCAGCTCCTTTATAGTCCAGATGGGGTTCTTTTAACTCGAGGTCCAGGGGCCTACAAAATCCCAGGCTTTGGAGACATCCCCACCCAGCTGCAGGTCTCTCTGCTCCGGGACGCACACAACGACAAGGCCCTATACTCTTCAAAGGTATGAACCCAGACTTTGTTGGCCAATCGTCTTTTCTATCTCTGCGATATGCAGTTGATTTGCCAGTCCTGCATTGTCTCTTCTGCTCTTTGATGGGACCACATTTCACTAACATTCTGTAAAGCGGCAGATTCCTCAGTCCTCGGGCAGGGCTGAATAAAAAATTTCTTGACCGCTCGATATTTACATTTCACATTAACTGAATATTTAATAATACTTTCATAGATGATCGTATACCAGACAGTGATAATGATTAATTGTGATAACACTAAAGTTATACTGACCTTGAACTGTAATAATCAAAGCAGCAAGCAGCATCGAAAGGCACTTGCTGCATTTACCCAAAGATTATGGCGCTGGCTCGCTCTTCAGTCAGGTCTGATGGAGGAAACACTAATATAAATATTGCAATGCGTATGATCTGTGAGTATGTGCCTTGTTTGAACTACATTGTAACTTACAAATTAAAAGTTTTAATTGGAGGTAAAATTAAAGTAAAAAAATCACAAGAATAAAGGAAGCCCTTCTTAACAAGGCATTCCTTGTTAAGAAATAATAATAGTATTGCTTTTTAGGGCCTACGCCCCGCCCCATTGGGGCTTAGGCCAAATAATAGCCCGGCCTCGAGCTCGGGCGACATACAGGTCCTGCAGCGATGGGAGGCTGCGGCCGATCACCTTCTCCGCAGAGCGCACAATGCGCTGTAGTCTCCGCTTGTCCCTTACAGTGGTAACCTTGCCTGCAAGCTGAATTCTCGCGGTATTTGTGAGTTCACAAACACTCGAGAATGCATCTTGCCCCGCTCCCGCCAACCCTTTTCGAGTAGAACATCTAGGTGTTCAAGCCAATCACGCGCCAGTCTGGGGGTTTAGGGCGGGATATCCGGGTTTGACGAAAGCAAGAAGTGCCGGGCCAAAGCAAAACAAACATGGCTACGCATGAGGACGGACGCGTAGCTGAGGCTATCAAGTCAGTTTTAGCAGAATCTTCAATTTCTTTTTTGAAAGATGAACAGCGAGAGGCGCTTTGTGCACGCCGATGACGACATAATGTTACCGGGATTGGTTTAAGTCAAACCTTGGTAGGCGGGCACACAGCGTCACTTCGTCCAATCAGCTTGAAGTATTCTGCTGCTGATCCCTCCTTTCCCCAAAAGGATTCTCCTGCAGAAGTCCCAGATTGATATTGTGGAGAACGCATTAGAGTTCTACACAATCATCAATCTGGCTCTTGCCAGGGAATTACAGTGGCTCCAGCGAACCACACGGTGATGGAGGAGGTGAGGATGGACTCGATGATGGCCGTGTAGAACTGCACCAACATCTGTGCAGGCAGCTTGGCTTTCCTGAGCTGCCGCAGGAAGTACATCCTCTGCTGGGCTTTTTTGATGAGGGAGCTGATGGTCGGCTCCCACCTGAGGTCCTGGGTGATGGTGGTGCCCAGGAAATGAAATGACTCCACAGAGGTGATTGGGGAGTCCATCAGGGAGGGCAGGGGCGGGGGGACTGTGCTCTTCCTGAAGTCCACAATCATCTCTACTGTCTTCTGGGCATTCAGCTCCAGGTTGTTACCACTGCGTCAAGACACCCGCTGGTCCACCTCCCTCCTGTAGGCAGACTCATCGTTGTTGGTGATGAGTCCAATGAGGGTGGTGTCATCCGTAAACTTGATGAGCTTCACGGAGTCGTGGTGGAGGGGGGGTCCAGGAGGGGGGAGGTGAGGGACTTGAGGTGGGGGAGGACCAGGCACTCAAGTGACTTCATGACTACAGATGTCAGAGCCACGGGTCTGTAGTCATTAAGTCCAGTGATCCTGGTCTTCTTAGGGACAGGGACAATGATGGAGGATTTGAAGCAGGTGGGGACGTGGTAAGACTCCAGCGAAGTGTTGAAGATGTCGGTGAAGACTGGGGACAGCTCGTTCGCACAGTGTCTCAGGCCCTGTTTATACTGAGACGCTGCGCAGACGTTTCCAGGCTATTAACAGAAACGACTTGGCTCCTAATGCAAATTTCTCAGCGTTCACATGAGGTTGAAAACGATGTAGTTCTAGCGCCCGGCCAGTAGTGGGCAGATAAACTTTACAACACTCACACGACCCCCAGCCCCGTGCCCAGCCCCCCTCTCGGCAGTGTACTCACTTCCTGTGCCAGACCCTCAGAGAGTACCAACATCATTCTGCCTTTTAACAGCAGCTGTGAACATGGAAACTGAACCTAGAGCTTCGCGTGGTCTCGTTTGGACGAACGAAGGAGTAGAATTATCCACTGTGCCGCGCTGGAAGCCCACGTAGCTAGTATGTGAGCGCGGCGCCATTGTTGTTGATGTTTGTTCTCCGCTACTGCGCATGTCCAAATTTACGTGCGGGGAGCAGCGGGGAGGCGGGGGTCAGAGCAGAGGGGGATTTCACACCTTTTCCCCTCTCGCGGGTGTGAAAAAGCTCCCTGCTGTGCAGCGTATCTGAGGCCCTGTTTATACTGAGACGCTGCGCCGACGTTTCCAGGCTATTAACAGAAACGACCTGGCTCCTAATGCAAATTTCTCAGCGTTCACATGAGGTTGAAAAACGATGTAGTTCTAGCGCCCGGCCAGTAGTGAGCAGATAAACTTTACAACACGACACACGACCCCGAGCGCCGTGCCCAGCCCCCCTCTCGGCAGTATACTCACTTCCTGTACCAGACCCTCAGAACGCACCAACATCTATCTGCATTTTAACAGCAGCTGTGAAAATGGAAACTGAACCTAGAGCTTCGCGTGGTCTCGTTTGGACGAACGAAGGAGTAGAATTATCCTCTGTCCCGCGCTGGAAGCCCACGTAGCTAGTTTGTGTGGGCAGCGCCATTGTTGTTGATGTTTGTTCTCCGCTACTGCGCATGTCCAAATTTACGTGCGGGGAGCAGCGCTGAGGCGGGGGTCAGAGCAGAGGGGGATTTCACACCTTTTCCCCTCTCGCGGGTGTGAAAAAGCTCCCTGCTGTGCAGCGTATCTGAGTTGTCCCACTCTGCAGGCTGGATCTGAACACTTACGTTTTCACCCCCCTGGAACACTGTCTTCGTATGAACGGTTGGTAGCAACCGACATCCAACTATACCGTTTTACTGCCACATTGTCTCTGTGTAAACTCAGCCTCAGGGTGGCAGATGAGATTCCATCCGGGCTGGCATCACTTTGGAGATGTAGTCTAGAGAACTCTCGTCTAGTCTCGTCTAGACCTATTGACAGTGAGGGGACGGGGGGGCAGAGGGACTGAGGGGTGAGGTGTGGAATGAGCAGTGGGGGGAGGTGTCAGGAACAACATCAAAGCGGCTGAAGAACTGGAGTGGATGTCTGAGGCTGAGTTTATACTGAGACGCTGCGCAGACGTTTCCTGGCTATTATCAGAAACGACCAGGCCCCTAATGCAAATTTCTCAGTGTTCATACGAGGTTGAAAAACGAAGTAGTTCCAGCGCCCGGCCAGTAGTGGGCAGAGAAACTTTACAACACACACACGACCCCCAGCCAACATCCTTCTGCATTTTAACTACAGCTGTGAAGATGGAAACTGAAACTGGAGCTTCGCGTTGTCTTGTTTGGACAAACGGTGTAGAATTTTCCTCTGTGCAGTGCTCGAAGCCCACGATGCTAGTTAGTGTACCCGCCGCCATTGTTGTTTATGTTTGTTCTCCGCTACTGCGCATGTCCAAATTTACGTGCGGGGAGCAGCGGGGAGGTGGGGGTCAGAGCAGACGGGGATTTCACACTTTTTCCCCTCTCGCAGGTGTGAAAGAGAGCCCCGCTGTGCAGCGTTTCTGAGTTGTCCCACTTTGCAGACTGGCTCTTAACTCTTACGTTTTCACCCCCCTGAAACACTGTCTTCGTATAAACGGTTGGTAGCAACCGACATCCAACAATAGCGTTTTACTGCCACATTGTGATGAAGATGACAAAGTCTGGGATCGCGTCTTTCATTCAGACGGAAGACAATTTATTGTCAATGGTAGAGACAGCACGAACAACACGAACAAGGGATGTTAAAGACAGCAACTGGTAATATACTCAGGAGAAACAGAGACCTCCAATCAGCAGCTCAACACGGTGCCAGCAGAGATAGTCAAAACATGAAGTGGAAAAGTACAGGCTTCTGCACATTGGTAGAATGATGAGTTTAATCTTAACAAAAGTTGCTTCAAAGTGATATGAAATCTCACAATTGTCTCCGTGTAAACTCAGCCTGAGTTGTCCTGGACTACCTCACAAACAGACCCCAGTTTGTGAGAGGCAGAGACTGCATGTTTGAGGTCCAGAGCCAAATTAAGGTTTTCTTATCTTATCTTTATTACAGAAATGCTTCCATAAAAGAATCATTTTGATCCATTTGAAGTTCAGGTCACACTGGTGCACTTCGAATGACTTACAACAGACTGAAAATAATGAAAACGGTGATTGTTAATTTAGCTGGGATGATTATGAAGAGAGTTTCCTTTAAATTATTTGGAAATTAGAAGGCTGACATATTTCGACCTCATCGCAAATTAGATTTGGCAAAATCTCAAAATTGTTCATCTGAACAAGGGGCAGAATATGTATATGTATTTTTTGTTTCAAATATCTATTTATTTTTAAATAAACAACACAAACAGATCCAAGACAAGCTCGTTATTTCTGATGATGCCTGATTGTTTTATGTACATACAGTATGGAATTTATTTAAGTATTTGTATTTATTGATTGTCTTCAGTCATTGATTTAGTCGCCTAAAGAGTGGCGAAGTGAACATGGGGACGAACTTAGTTTGAGTTTTTTGATGTTCCTCCTCTCTTCATGACACATTTGGGTGTTTTTCAGGCTGTTGGTGAACCGCCCCTGTTTCTCGCAGCCTCAGTCTTTTTCGCCCTAAAAGACGCCATTGCTGCAGCACGTTTGGAGGCGGGGCTGAATGGCCCATTCCGATTGGACAGTCCGGCCACAGTAGAAAGGATTCGCACAGCATGTGCTGACCGCTTCACCAAAATGGTAACTTGTTTTTAGTGTTTGTGTACATTACATATGGAAAATTGTGATCCTAGTGACAAGTAAAAATATATAAATATTCAATTTAATTCAATTCAATATATTTGTATCTCTTAGTTTAGCCCTAAATCACAACAGTTTCAGAGGACTTAACAAAACCGTTGAAATCGCCAACTCAGATCAGAGAATCGAACAGTTCAAACACATAAAATATAGAGTTTGACCAATGTACATAAATGGTGTAGAATGTTAGATTGTCCTGGATTATAGCCAAAGGCCTTCTTGTTAGACCACTAAGAGTCTAACAGAACTTCCTGCATTGGCAAGACCCTAAAACCCAGTGGGAGAAAAGTGAGAAACCTTGGGGAGAAACACATTGAGAGAGGGATCCACTCCACACGGACAGACAGGCTATAGATCCAGGACTTAATCTACAGAACGAGGACCAAGGCTGTTGTAGAACAAGGACCGGTGCAAGGCAGGACTGAAGCAACTCCCAGGCGGGGAGGGGGTGCAACCGCAAGGCAGCTCAGGCAGGGCAGTCCACACGTGCAGATGGAGGGGGCCAGGTTCAGAATACTAATATTGAGTAACTTTTTTCATGTACCGAGACAAAAATAAGTAACTGAAATCTGTTTAGAAGAAATCTAGTTTTATTACTTTGTTTGTCAGACTATCCTAACTATTCAACATGCCACCTAGGAATAGAGCGCTCTGCTTGAACCATGGAAGTAATACAGCTTTAATTTGTCTAACTATAGTGTGCTTCTGTCCGCAGTGTCCTGCAGCTGAAGAGGGGACCTACAGACCCTGGGCGGTCCTGGTCTGAGTGTAGTCAGGTCTGAAGCAGTTCTGAAGCAAGACTTAAGCAGGATGGAAGCAGGGCTGAAAGAGGACTGAAGCAGGGCTGATCTTTAAGTTCATTCTGTGTATTACATAATGACAATTTTTTGCAATTGAAAGCACATTAAAGCACAGCTTGTACTTCATTAAAAAGCCTCCATTTCATAATATGTTTTCATTTATTCATTGAACCTGTGAAAATATAAAAGGGATCTAGAAATCTATTAAACATTTTATTTCTACAAAATCAACAGCAAGAAGCCCATCTTAGAGCACTGTCATGTTGACTAGATGTTTGGCAGAGCTCTTTTGGTGTGGCCTTCACTGCCCACATTCCGTCATATAAGTGATAATTGTTTTTTCATAAAGTGACGAGCCCTCACTCTGCTCCTGGAGATCACAGCGCTGCAGTGACCCCGGCAGCAGACCAAAGACGTAACATTTGAGGGATATGTGAGCATTTTTTCTTATTTAAGGATTTGGATTAGAAGCAATCGGCGAATTCCAAAACAACAACAAAAAACTGTTTTTGTGGTGTAGAAAAATCTGAGTTTGAGAACGTTTCTGCACATTTTGTAAGCATTTCACAGCAATGTCTCGAAGAAGATATCAAACCAAACCCTTCATCTTTTGCCTCAAGACTCTGCTGCTGGTTTACTCCTTTGTCTTCTGGGTGAGTCAATGGATTCAATAGATTTATGTATGAAGAACCTTTATTTCCACCATTGATCAAGCTCACTCCTTTATTTCTTGAATCATGGTATTTGTGATATATGCATGAGTTAACGGTGTCAAAACGGATTATTAGCACACATTAGTAATATGTGTTTTCTTATTGCTAAAGGGTATTGATTTATCTTGTTTTGAGGGCCTCTTTTCTTGGTGGATCGAAATAGTGATATAAAAATCTAACTACAGCAGAATGTCAAACTCAGCCCCGTGGGAGAGACCATTTCTAGGGACCCCTGAAATCATTATTTTCTACTATTATTAACTTGCAGCAATGATTAGTGATTGTAATGGCAGACTAAAACATGTCTGCCATCAACTGTAATCTTTAAATACATTTATTTTTGATATTATTATGCTTTTGGTTTACTCCACTGAACTCTATTTCTTCAACAACAAAAAACAAAAAAATCGACCAGAAAATAATATCCTAGCTTTTGTCAAATTAATTTGTCAAAACGCTTTCATAATCCCTGACCAGCTCTTATTACTTTTTAAAATCAAGACAAGATTTGCCAATGGGACAAGCAGATATGTTGCTAAGCAAATTCTCTCATGGAATTAGAAAGAATGGCTACCACCCTTGAAATAAGAAATGTTTTCTTGTCCCATTGGTAAACGTTGTTTTATTCTATCAAAATGTACTTTTACATTTATACCCCCTCTTGACTCAAGCATTTTCTGCCTCATATGTGCTGGCAGTCAGGGTGCATTCACACAGGGTCACTTTAACTAAGTCTTGTTCACTTGGGAAATGTTTGCCCCAAGTGACCTTGTTTCACCCGTAGTATAAAGTGACATATGTTAATACCTACATTGTAGATGTTAAGTACGTCTGACGGGATTATACTGTGCTTAATGCTGTTTTGTGCTCTTTCTTTTACAGGGTTAGGGTGAGCGTAAGGTTTTAGGAGAAAAAAGGACTGTTACAGACAAGTCTGCAGTTTATGAATCTCTACATATGTGGTGTTTATAGATTTATGTTCAAACTTTTCGCATTAGTGCACATTATTCAGCATCATTACATCATGAGCTTTTTGTTGTGTTTGAATTGAAGACAATGGGGTCTATATCAAGTGGTGATAAATGCACTAGACGAAGAGGCTGTGTGCTCATTGTTTTGTTGGGTTTTTGATTCGTAGCAGAAGCTCAACCTCAAGGAGCAATAAGGAATACGAAAGACTAGGAAGTTGTTTTTGTTTCTTTTTTGTTCCTATAGGCAGTTCACAGAAAGCTATTGGTCATGTGACACTGGGTCATGCGACAGTTGGTCACACTTCACACATTGGACCAAACGAGGTAAAGGCTGGACTGTCAAAGTGTGAAGTCAAAGTGACCAACATTATGTTCCAGCCTTTCTACTGTAATAATTAACAGCAATAGGACCTCTGGAAGAATACTACCACATTTTGTCCTTACAAGGTTTACAACCGCAAACAAATATTTCAATTAAATGTTTTTAAGACCACTAAAAGTAACAAATAACAGATGTTGGACAAGATTTTTTTTTGCACTCATATTTGGAAGAAAAATCCGCAAAAAATCTTCCAGACTCTTTGGAAGAGTTCGCAGAACCGCTCATTGACTTTGCCCCTATGTCATCTGACCTCAGTATCAGTGCTGAGTTGCATAACAAGTCTTGTGAAGATCCATAACTTATAGAGCTAATGATAGAGCTTCAGAAATGGAGGATTTGGAGAGTTTGTCTGTGATATGTGTCAGAAGAAAGTAATTGTGATGTTGGCTTTTCAATAAGTTTATATCTCACCCCACAATGTCTAACTTTGCAACTAACAGGATAAAGTGTGGGATTCTTCCAACTCTGTGCCAAACTTGCCAAGGCTAGACGATTTGACCAAACCAAACTGTGCATGCTCTCTGTCATGGGCCATCAAACAAATGAATCCCCAGGCTAATTGAGACTGTGATGAAAGCAATATTTGACTATCACATAATGTCTTTGTTTTGAACTGGCCTAAGGTGTCAGGAATCGTGCTGTTGTCCGTGGGGCTGTGGTGGATCTTGATGCTTGGCCCGTACTCTGTGCTCATCTCAAGAGCACCCTCTGCCGTGCCCTTCGTGCTGTCGGGTACCGGCGCTGGCATCGTGGTGTTGTCACTGTTCGGCTGCTGGGCCACCTGCAGGGGCCGCTGCTGGATGCTGCGTACGGTCAGTTCAGAACAGAAGATTCTATCCCAATGTTTCAAGATGTACATGTTTTACTTTTGAGCCCTGTTTGACTTCTGGCCCACAGTATGCTGTGCTGCTGTCGCTTGTGTTTCTGACCGAACTGATCGCAGGAATATCCGGCTTTATATTTCGTCACGAGGTTTGTCTTTTTCACTTATTGTTCTCCGTCAATTCCAACCTTGACGTATATGGTATAAACTCTTTTATGGTAAAAGTGTAAAACCACAGTAATGTCTTTGTGCTTTCAGATCAAAGGCAGTTTTTTGAACTCTTTTTCTGATGCAGTTCAAAAGTACAATTCTCTGGATGAACGCAGCCTTGCAGTTGATGACCTACAGCGAAAGGTATGAAAACAACTTATACTTTACCTGACCAATCTACAAGGCAGAAGGGTCTAGGACCGGGTGTATTGGGTTGCAGTACGTCCATTAAATTTGTGCAACCAGTAACAGATCGCTGAAATTAAAACTCTGAACTTGCTTTGCAAAAAAGTTCCAAAACCAAAAATTTTGTCAATTGTTTTTGATAACGATTATACAAGTAGATTAACCAGATTTACCGACTAAAATATCAGAGTGCTCTAGCCCTACTGATGACATGTGTCGTGGTGGCTTGGTTCAATTCCATCTTCAGGCCTTTCTGTGTGGAGTTTTTCATGTTCTGCCCGTGTTTGCTTAAGTTTCCACTGGGTGCTCTGTTCTCCTACACTGAAAACATGTACAATAGAGAGGACAATTGTAAAGGGGTTTGTGACTCTGCTCTGTGAAGGCGCGATAAAGATAAATGTCAGGTTAGTTAGTCAGGTAGGTTAGTATTAACTTACTCACATGTGGTAAAAGACAAGTGATTTACATGTTTGCAGCTACTTCCTCTTTTCTCTGCTTGAGTCTTGAGCGGTAATTAATTGCGAAATTTCTTAGTTGCAAAAACGGCTCATAAAATGGTCAGTTTATGGCAGAGATCCAGACCCTTACCACTTCAGATTCATGTGGCTCTGGCTGGTCACTTCTGATACTCTCATATATTATGATTATCACTATAGCTATAACTCTACTGTTATTTCTATCTCTATTTAGGTTTTTGCAAATGTTTTATCTGACTTTATCTTTACTGAATCCAGTGTACATTATCTTGTCCGTAAATGGGAGATGTTTGTACCAAATAAAAATATAATGTGTACAAAAATAATTGGTGTACATCAGCTATTTCCAACCTTTTAAGGGGCACTGATCCGTTTAACGCCAGACAATAATGGCATGGACGGGCAACCAAACAAAACACTGCAAAATAAAGGATTGTTTAGAGTCTGACAATAAAAACAGAAATGATTTATTCTTTCCTTGGCTACCTGGTTCGAATGACCCACAGCCCGGTTTGTATGACCCTCCACTGGTGATCCCGAACCCATCAGTGGGTACCTCACTTTCAATCATTGTGCTCAGCACAAATCATTTGTTCTCTTTTGCCGTGCATGTGCACACCCGGACACACATGCAGCTAACGCCAGTTCTGGGTGTTTTTAGTTAAAGTAGAAGCACAATGAACATGGGGATTGCTGAGAAGATGTGAAAGAGGGGCGGGACAAAAGGTTAATTTGTTATTTTTTCACTTTCTAAATGTGTATAGTTGCACTGCTGTGGCGTGTCAAACTACAGCAGTTGGCTGCACAGTTCTTATTTCCCACACGGAGGAGTCCCAGGCTCCTGCTGCGTCCGGATCCACGACTGTGAACGAGACGAACTCCGCAACGCATCAAGAGTGGCAGACATAGTGTATGAGCAGGTAATCTAACCGACAACCTATATCACAAGAGAGTTTGGTATATCTTTCTGTAGTCCGCACAATATTCTTTTGCCTTAATCCAAACAATATTTTAAAATGTCTGCACTCTCTGTCTTAGGGCTGCTTTGAACTTGTGACATCGTTCATTGACAGAAATCTCGGAATCATCGCTGGGGTCACATTTGGCATCGCTTTCTCTCAGGTAGATTCTCTGAACAGGAAAAACAGTTGCGGTCTTGAGCAGTTTAAATAGGTTTTTAAACAACAACAAAAACCAAATAAATCCAGGCACAATTCAAGCCCTGTTCACACTGGTAAGTCCAATGTGTCGGGTTTACATGCAAAGTCTATGGACATTGAGGGGTCCATGCATCCAGCATCACTGCAGAGTGGTCTTACAACCGGCAATGTAAGCACAACTACAATTCCCTTCTCCTGGAGAACACCTGTCAAAGGACACCCTGGGGAACACTATCAAATGCCTTGTGTTTACTAATTACCCTATTAGGCTGAGGAGTGTAATATCATGATGATTGGAATCCTCCAGTTCCCCCTTTTTAAAGTGACTCCAAAAGGCACCGTCCTCAATCACCACTTGACGTTGCAAAGATGTGTCATCAAGACAGTCCTACAACATCCACAGAATTAAAATAGTCTAACAATATAGACAAACAACTTCAATGAGTTTACGTTTGGAGATGGAACCAAGATCTTCAGCCTTCAAGAAGGAGGATGTGACGGAGCCCTTCAGAGTATTGCTTTCACTGACTGGCTATATCCCCAGAGGTCAGCATCTCTCCACTGCCATGCTGGTAATGTAAACAGTGATAGCAAAGCACCACTAACCCCTCCTGAGGTGCTAGACACAATAGACCTGGATGTGGTTTCATCAGTTTGGGGATAAAGGAGAATTGAGTTACGTTCAGTGCAGTCCAAGTTCTCTGTGCTTTTAAATGTATGAGTATTACAGGTAGACCCAGACAAACTTTTCTTTATTTTTTCCAGCTAATTGGGACTACTGTGGCCTGTTGTTTGTCCAGATTCATCAACTCAAACCAGTATCAAATGGTGTAAGGTAAGGTATCCTGGGGCATAACCGGACTAAACATGGATTAGGATATAATTGGCACTAACACAGGTCTGAACCAGGACTGCCCAAACTCAACATTTCCTCCCTTCCACAGGTCTAGGATGGAGAGTAGAGACTTGTGAGGCTGAATCTGGATTTGAAGTAGAATTGAAAGTTTTGTGCAATATTAATTTTAATGTAATGAATTTAAAATTGTCACATGCATAATTGAGTTAAATTAAAAGAATTAAATCAAACTGATTATTTACTGATGACGCAAGGGATACATTTCAGGAGTTCATTCATCGATCCACACACAAGTCCACACATTTCAAATACAGTATGTACATTCATAGAAAGACATTCTCAATAATCTTTAAAAAACAAAAAGCTCCTACTGAACCCCCTGATTTGTAGTTCACAGTACTTTGGCCCCAGTACACGGTATAGTCTGCATATGTGTTTTATGTATTCATATCCAAACACCCGTCCTCCTGTGGACTCACCACCTGCAGAGGGTCAGTGAGGGGCTGGTGCTATGAGACTTGGGTGGCATCTCTGATTGCCACCCCCCTGACCCAGAAATGGATTAAAGGGTAGAAAATGGATGGATGGATGGCATATCCAAACACATATAGACATTGTTCCTTATGCATGGTAGAAGTGGCACTTCTTATGCTTCTGGTGCATTGTGAGAAGTGCAGATTAGGGGACTTTGAGTGTGGAGCTCCAGAGCAGATTCTGAGGCAGAGAGACTTGGACGTGACATGTAGGACACTGCTGTTTCCGCCACAGGTACTCCTCTATGCACTGAAAACACATACAATGTTGTTACTGCACACATTCTACAGCGTGGACGCCACTTCTGTTTAGGTGTCTGGGGTTTCATAGCTAAAAACATAATCTGTAAGAGAGCTGAAACATAACAGGCTTTCCACTGATCCACGCAATTTCTTATTGGCAGCGTACGAGAGGGTAACGAGATTTACAAACAATGACAGAGGGAAGTAAATTAGATTAAATCCAGGCAGTCCCAGGCTTTGTCACATCATCAGTATTTGCAAAGCAGCTTTACACACAAGTAAAGCATGGTGGATTACCCCTACATATACAACTTCAGTAGTCAGACCAGCAAGACCCGGCTTTACACTCTGACACATGTCTGGCAGGCCAGACTACAACAAAAAGTCGTATTTACCCTAATTTTAATCACAGAGATATGCATTTACTTGGAAAAAGAATTTGTGAAATGGTTAAAAAATCGGGGTAGTTATTACACTAAAACACAAGTTTATTACACATCTGGGTTGAATACTTACTTTATATTGATTACACGTACACAAAATCAAAGAAAGCAATAGTAAAAATAATTGGAATATTTCTCTTTATTGAAATACCAATACTTCAGTGATTCCCTTTAGAAGCGTTTTTCCAAAAATGAAAAACAAAAGCTGTAGGGACAACATTGAGGTAGGAATTTGACCAACTATAACTTGACTGATAAAGAAAAAAAAAATTCTATACATATTTCTCATAAGTCCTGTCTCTCAAAGTGAAACCTTAAACTTCTTGAAGAGAATAGAATTACTATTAGTTACTGAATTTCTGCACTTCTGAGCCTGGAGATGTTTTGAGGTGGTTTATAAAAAGGGGTCAGTTAGTTAACCTGGCAAGAGCCAGATTGATGATTGTGTAGAACTCTAACGCGTTCTCCACGATATCAGTGTTTGTGAACTCACAAATACCGCGAGAATTCAGCTTGCAGGCAAGGTTATCAGTTAGTACCTCTTTGTGGAAGGTGTGTGAGCACTGCAGCTCTCTGGATCCTCCGGTTCCATGTTTGAGATCGTTATGACAGATCAGACAAACACTGTCTGCGTCGCTCTGCAATACAACACAAGAACACAATTACAATCCCGCTCTTAACCAGTTAATTTAAAAAAACCTGATCATGATCCTGCTCATACCAGAGACATGACATTCCGCCTCCTGAAGTGGCCTTTCTTCTCCGGGACGTTGGGTTTGTCAAGACATTGTTCGGGTTGGGGTTTAGATTGCAGGTCTGACAGGGGGGCGGCTTTCTCTGGAATAGAGGGTGGGGCATGCAGGGGGGCAAGCGAGCCCCTCCTCTCTCCTGGAGGGGGCGGGACTTCTTGTGGTGATGGCAACAAGCGACGGGAGGATGTGCGGCGCAGGAGAAGCTTGGCCGTGACTGGAGCCGCTGTGGAGCTGTGCAGCCGCGACAGGGTTGTTGATGACAGGTTGGACTGGAACAAAACAAATGTGTGTTTTGAAAAAAAATATTGAATTTTGTAGTAGTAAAACTGGTTTAGATGGTGTGAAATGTCCCTTGACCAAACCTGGTCTCATTTAAAACGCAACTATGAGAAACTGTTTTTGGTTCAAATAAAGTTTTGCTCTTCTGCAGCCACTTCCTGTTTTCTCAGATTGACTATTTGGTCTCATTTTATTGGACAACTAAACATGTCCTAGAAGTGGGCTACCTGTTGACATAAATTCAGAACCTCACGTATTTGAAAATATTGCACAAGCATGTGGTCCTGGATGGTCCCAGTTAGTTTACCGCTTCATCAACACTAATATTAGGAACCTCTGGTAGAAACACGTCCCCCTGGTCTTTCTGTTGAAATGCGTCTGTCTCAAACTCAGTACACTATGAGGAATATGAGCACTGTTACATGTTTTCTGCCTTTTAAAGTTTGTGCAATTTCTCTGGTGAAATTAGTTTCTTTCTACAACTCAGTGGCTGTATTTGCTGCATGCCATGTCCAAAAGAAATGCAAACTAAATAAAATGTTAGACCTGATTTAGTCTGATGTAGTCTTACCACAGTGGGAAGCGAGGCTCGGCGACCCACTCGCATTGGGGGCGGGTCTACACTGATTCTGCTTCCTGTGCGCTCAATCACTTCCGGCATAGGTTCTTCTTCTCCTCTGCAGCGCTGCATCCAGGCAGTAAAGATGCGCCCCACTTCTTCTTCATCATCATCATCCTCTTCCTCCTGCTCCTTCTCTGCTGCAGATTCTGGGTCTGAGTCCAGAGCTTGCTCTGGGTCAGGAAACACCTCCTCTTGGTTGGTCGGCTCCATTTGATAAAGCCCAAAATGCTGCCCTCTGTAGATCGTTCAGAGGGGTTGATAAGGAGGAAGGTGATTTGTGACAGATATAGACCTGAGCTAATGCTCTCAACTACAACTGATGGAACAGGCTAAAGCTTAGCTCCATATATTGCAGACCCCAAGCACATATTGACCTTTTAGTCATTTAAATACCAGATTCAGATTAGAAGAGAGAGAGGAACAAAATCGTGTCAAGCTGGTCTTCTCTACACATATACCCAGTAGAATAAAATATGGATTTAACAGTAGTATTAACTGTACCTGGCACGCATTTGTTTTGAAATCCTGGATTGATTCAGCATTATATCCCAGTTTGTTTTGATTTTAGATTTGTTTGGCTTGTTTCAGACCCCAGTTTACACTTGAATTACCTCTCAGACTAAACAAGTACAATATCCATAGCAATTTCCACAGATAGAATCCCTTTAAGATTTGAGTTCCGGCCTTGAAACAGAAAGACCTGGTTTAATCCTGGTTTTGTCCTGGTTTAGTCCTGAGCTTGGTCCTGGTTTGGATCCGGAGCTTGTGCTGTCTTGAGCAGAGTGTCAGTAGGTGCTCTCACTTGGACAGAAACCCATTACACCAGGATTAGACCAGGATTATAACCAGATTACTGCTGCTCTTGCGGCCGGTATACAGTTAGTTACAAAATAGACTTAATTAATAGATACAGCATAAATGTCTTGTGTCTGTCTGTACTACGTAGGTCGATTGCAGATCACAAATAGCCTTCTCTATGTCTGGGCTATAAGTGCCAATGTATATCCATATCAAACATGATCTCTTTAACAGACCCTTTAAAAGTTTGCAAAAAAAAAAAAAAAAAAAAAGTTACAAATCAGAAGTAAGTCGACTGGAAGTATTGTAGAGTGGGAAATATTGTAATTGAGATTGTCTGCTGAAAAAAGCACAATACAACAATACAAGATAATCCCAGTAATGCATTTTATTTTTATTTCTCCATTTGGTAACTATGGTAACTGTCAAAAATAATGTTTATGATCCTGTTTGATTTATGCATTCATAATGAATAAATGTTTGCATGAACATTTATTATATAGATGAACGAACTTGAAAAAAAAAATCACATTTAAAAATAATACTGAATAATATTAATTATGACTATAATAATTATATCAACACTAATCATAATAACAACAATAACACTAAAGGCGCGTTCAGACCAAAAGCTTCAAAAAGCTTTTGGTCTGAACGCGCCTTTTAATCATAATTAATAATAAGCAATGAGGCGCATGCGCAGGCGGATGTTTTCACTCAGCCTCTTCCTGCTTTAGCATTAGCCGCTAGCTGATGAGCGCGCTCTGACGATTTTCATCGAAACATTTTCACTATTTAAGAAAAGGACGCGGCTCTGGTGACATGGGTGAGTACGTAACAAATGTAAGACAACACCTCAGCCCAGTGTTGAAAGAACAAATTTAAAGCACGTTTCTAAGCGGAATGCTACATTTTGACATTTAGGCGCTGTGGTGTCTGTCTGTGGCGTGGCCCGCTTCCTCTGTCTTCTTCTTCTTCGAGATGAGAACTCTAGGACTTTCTGGCAGCTTGTACTTGTGCTTTTACAATAAAATAATCTCATGAAGATGACCTCAGTCATATGCATTCATGTTTTGGTTTAGCCTCTTAAACTATCTCATAGTTACCAACTAAAAGCATTTCTCGCCTTGTTTGTCCTACTGCTGCAAATATTTCAGATATTCGTGTTCCCTTATAATTGCACATACCTAATATGCTCAACAAGTGCGATAACTTAAAATAGTACCCAATAAGAACGCTAGACTTGTTTTTTTAAAGTAGGTTTGAATTCTCTTAATCTATTTAAATACGTTACATGGAACTTTAATAATTCCATTCCATCAAAACAATTGTTGTAGAATAGCTGATGCGATGGTGGAATGAGCTCAGATGGTAATGTATAAGCAGCTTATGGACTGTTTGAGGTGAGGAACTAATGCAACAACAGAAATTGTGGCTTTTTTATTACATTTAAAATGAATAATATTACATAGAGGACTGGTGCTCTGTGAACTGGGTGGCATCTCTGGCCACCCCCCCGACCCAGAAATGGATTAAGGGGAAGAAAATGGATGGATGGAATATTACATAGAAATTAAAAATATCACTCAGATGTTTATAGGTTGCTTTAAGTAATGTGGAAATGTTAAGCAAAGTCTAATAAAGAATCCATCCATCCATTTTCTTCCCCTTAATCCATTTCTGAGTCGGGGGTGGCAGTCAGAGCTGCAAGTGATGGATTTTTGGCACCTTATATATATATATATATTATATATATTTTGTTTTTACAGATGATACATTTCTTCTATATATAATTGTGAGACATTCTGATATTGGAACTACTTTACTGTTACTTTTATTTATATTGAATCCTCTGAAGCTAAATTATTTTACAAAAGGGTGATACAAAGTGGAGAGTATTTGCAAACGATAATTGAGGCTCATAATATACAGTTCTTGAACTGTGAGTTAATTACTGTAATAGGCCAATTTTCTCTCAATATTTTGTTCTGAGGTGGTTTATTGTATTTATATGTTCTTATGGTTCATTGTAGCCCATTAAAGAAATGTCTGTGCTTTAGCTCTGCCTCTGTCTCACCTGCGGCTGCTGGCCCCTCCCCTGCGCCTGTTGCTAGGTGCAATGTGGCGTGTAGCCAAGCTGCAGATTCATGAACATTATGGGCTGTTGGAGGAGTTTATTGCTGCAGTAACGGAGTCGGTCCCTGATATACTGTCAGTTAAAGAGAAGACTGTCCTGCTGCTGGCTTTGAGGACTAAGGTAAAAGCAAAATCTTAATTTGTATGACTGTATAAAGTGACTGAAAAAATGCGGACGAGAGGAGTAGAGAGGATGTAAATGATTTGAATGAATGTCTGGGGTAGTTACCAGGTCAATAATCATGACTCCTCTCCATTCCTCTAAAGACTAACATTTGGTATACAGTGATCAGGTTTCTCCCAATGCTTCTGAATCTGAACGTCCAGCTGGATGTCAAGTGTTAAATGTTTTTTTGAGTTGCTCCGATCAATTAGCAACTTTATTAAATAATCAACTTTGTCAAAAAATGGGGAATGTTTCTCAGCTGCCCACCGGCTTCTACACCGGCTTCTACACCGGCTTCTACACCGGCTTCTACACCGGCTTCTACACCGGCTTCTACACCGGCTTCTACACCGGCTTCTACACCGGCTTCTACACCGGCTTCTACACCGGCTTCCACACCTGCTTCACCCGCGATACAGTGCACTCAGCAATGCCACGTTCCTCTTGCTCTGTTCCTGTGCAAGAGAAAGCTGCGACATTTGCGTCCGTGCTTAGTCCTGATGTCTAAGATGATGGCAAATCATTTCTACTGAACAGGGCCCGGCGACCCATCTCCAGATGTTGATGCTTGACTTGGTCAGGACTACAAGAGCTGGAGGATTTTAAACCTATTGGTCATGTTTGTCTGCTCAGTCAAGCCCCTCCGGTTGAGACCTGGTTTAGAGCAGAGACCACAGATATCAGTTTTGTAGCATAAGCCTTCAACTTTGTTATCATTTTCATTGTAATTTTAGAATGTTAAATTAGTTCATGAATATAATCTTTTTGTCTTTTTGCTTAATTTGGCTAATTTTTATTTCAAGCAATTCCATTATGATTTCACTCCTTGTTTCTCCTGTTTCTATGGATTGTCCTTGGGCAGTGCGAAGCATAGATGCTGTTCTAAAAGAATGGAGATGGTGACTGAAGCATGGCCACCTGTTGCTCAAATTGTTGCTTGGTAGAAGCAATCGTCTGTGAGAGTGCTTCTAAATCCACACACTGGGCCCCATTTTGCACAAACAAGCTTCACGTTATGTTTTGTCGCACAGAACTTTCATAAATGAGACCCACTGTGTACCTGACTGCTTATATACACTGATAGCAGAAAAGGCACTACGGTCATTACTTCATTAATTTACAAAACAAGAGATAGGAAGAGATTAAAAGCAGTCACCGCTGTGGCACCCTCAATATGACTGATTTTGACATTCTTGATTATTTAAAAGATAGAACTTGGTCCATCTGTTACCGGCCCATTCACCGCTCACCAATAAAGATTGGTACCTGATGGATCTGATAAACTATAATTTAGGATGTATTGTGTCATGTCTTGTCTTAGTGACCCTGACCCTTGTTTTTTCATGATTTCCAGATTTTTCTCTTTGATCCAGACCCTTCTCATTTGGACCGCAGAAATGCCTCTGTGACAGTGAGTGTCTACTAATTACACACTACCAATTACCCTCTGTGACTCTGTGCTGATCCTCCTACACTGCTTTTGTAGGACTCCGAGTGGGACAAGTCCATGTCCTCTCTGAAGGAAGCAGTCTCCCAAGGACTGGACCCAGAGCAACTGAGAGTAAGGCCACCTAAAAAAAACCTTATAGATATTTTTTTTAAATCGGTATCATTACATTTTCTTAGATCTTGTTAGTAAACTTCTGTTGCTGAAATGTTCTCTTGTTTCTGCGCAACCCCCGGATGGACCGCCTTTCAGACGAAATCGCGTGCTTTAATCCACAAAATAATACTTTTTTATGGATTTTTTTCCATTCCAGACCGAAGCCAAATTATGAAAAAGAAAAATGTCTACCAGTCATTTTGATCTTCCTTTTCATTGACCTTTCATGAGACCAGGATGTTTCAGGTTTTGTGAAAGTGAAATGTCAAATGCCACTGCGGTAAAATGTAATGCCGCAAAGGGTAAGGAAAGTAATTCAGATTCGACCCCAGACACCAAAGTCATATGACCTATGGTGAGGAGTACATTTGAAATCAACAGTGGTATGCAAATGCTTGGGCACCCCTATCCTTTTCTGGGGATTTTCTTTTTATAAATCCTTGGTTGTTTGGGTAATACATTTTTATATCACGTAGAAGACAAGTTAAATAAAATTCTATTTAACTTTTCTATTTAACTTTAGTCTATTCTTAGAAAGTGTGCCAGAATTATTTTAACCAAATTGTGGTTAGGCATAGATTTAGGCTTTTTTTTTTTTTCTTCTTCAGTAGATATATATATTCAATAATTTTTAGCACTAATTATTGGAACTTAAAATGGGGTTTGCAACCTCAGCTACCCTTGGTATTTTGCATCTTCTATGAAGAGTGGCAACATGGGAGCCTCAAAACAATTAGCAAATTCGTATTTTTTTAGACCGGCTTTCTCGCCTCATTGTACATAAGCGTCTGTGAACTGTGTTCATGATGAGGACCGTCTTCTTTGTTTTTAAATCTGACTTGTATGTATTATTTTATCTATGTTTTAAATGTGAAGCGCTTTGTAATCCTGGTCTGTGAAAGGCGCTATACAAATAACAATTACAAATGACCTGAAAAGAAAGCTAGTTCAACATCATGGTATAGGGCAGCCATGGGCAAACTTTTCCTCTTGAGGGCCACATTGGAGTATTGGAAACTAATTTCCAATTTTTTTCACACTAAATATATCCATATATGATCCATCCATCCATCCATCCATTTTCTACCCTTTAATCCATTTCTGGGTCAGGGGGGTGACAGTCAGAGAGATGCCACCCAAGTCTCATAGCACCAGCCCCTCACTGACCCTCTGCAGGTGGTGAGTCCACAGGAGGACGGCTGCTCTCTGAGTGTGAGCATAGCCTTGATCTTTCAGTGGGGGCTTTGGGCAAAGTGGGGTTAAGTGTCTTGCCCAAGGACACAATATGATATGATATCCATATATGATAATATATCTATATTTATTTTGATATATGCCTATTCACCTGGATGATGCATGGATCCTGAGCCCCAGTTTGAAACCACAGCACTATTTCTACAGAATTGAACAGTGGCATCCTTTTATCCTTTTTCTCCGAAATAAAATGTTATATTAATTTCATTTGGAAGACCACAGGTACAGTTCTAGTTTAGGCCCAAAGTGGCAGACCAAGGCGCTGCAGGAGACCTCACACTCCCCCAGGCCGATCGCAGACAACTGAGTGCAGCGCTTGGCGATGCATATGAGCTCTTCATCCAGCGGATGCAGACCAATGGCGCAGACCACGAGCTCCACCAGACGGGGGCAGTGAAGACCCAAGTTAGACCAAGTTATCCAGACTGTGTAACCAAGGCCTTGCAATGTTTATGTTTCAAGATCATAGTAAATCATACATTTTTAGTGAAAGGCTCACGTGTAGCAGCTCACAGACCAGCTCCAAAGAGTTACAACATCAGCTGCAGATGGTGTCACTGTGCATCATTGGACTTTTTAGCTTACTTTTCACAAGGACAAATGTGGATAAAGCTTTTTCTCTGTACACGCCATGCTAAAGCAGATTTGGACAAGGCAGCTTCATTTTAGGAGTAGGGTCCTGTGGACTGACTAAACTAAAATCGAGTTATTTGGGCAAAACAAGGGGCATTATGCATGGAGGAAAAAGAATAGCATTCAAAACACACCCCTAAACACTACTCAAAATCTACTATGGCATTCTTGCAGAGGAACAAGTACAACACGGCACAGTGGCAGAGTGGATAGCACTCTCGCCTCTCAGCAAGAAGGTCCTGGGTTCGAATCCCGGTTGGACCAGGGTCTTTCTGAGTGGAGTTTGCATGTTCTCCCCGTGTCTGCGTAGGTTTCCTCCGGGTTCTCCGGGTTCTCCGGTTTCCCCTACCACTAAAAATATGTACAATAGGTCTGGCATGCGCCTCCTGTTCGGCGACCCCGCTCCCATCTCTGTGTGGAGTGAGAGGACAAGTGCCCAAAAATAATAACAATTGTAAACCGCTTTGTGACTCTGGTCTGTGAAAGGCGGTATATAAATAAAGATTACTTACTTACTTACTTACATTCTGAAATGGCAATCTCTGTCCCCAGACCTGAATATTTTTGAACATTTTTGATGTGATTTAAAACGGAACCCATCAAACCTGACTGGACTAGAGATGATATACAACGAAGAATGGTCCAAAATACCTTCCACCAGAATCCAGACCCTGAAGAAAAGAATATATTTAAGTGGAAGTTATAGAAAGCGTTGAGGCTGTTATTTCTGCAAATAGTACCGTTTGTCTTATTTGTATAATATATTTTACTGACATTTCTTATCCAAAAAAACAACAAGGATTTATAAAGGAAAAGTATATGGGTGCGGGTGCCAAATCCTTTGTAACCACTGTAATCCTAGTAAAATAAATTTGGCACTGTACTCACTAAAGAGGCCAAAGCACTTCAAATTGTGCAACTGCATTTGACTGGTGTCACTGCTCATTGAAGGCTACTACAAAGTTTTGGAAGAAATGAGAACACATAACCGCGCAGAGCGCAGCTGAGGCTGTACTTACCACTGAGATGGAAAGATCATGTGTTTTCAGCCATTTTTGTAGATGTCTTCAACTTTATAGTCATTGCCCAAGACGAGCTTGGACATATGGCCTTCTTTCTCATGAAAATTGTTGCTGTACACAGGAAGTTTTTGGTTGCGAGTTTGATGCCGCTTTGGAGTCGCTCTTAAGTCACTTTCTGTCTCGCCTTCAGCAGCTGCTTCCTGTCCCTGACTTCACAAAGGTACATTTACATAAAATACTTTTTATTATTAAAAAAAAACTCATATCTTTATTTCCCTAGATTTCTGAATTGGTTGAAGATGATTGGTTACATGAGTGTTTACAGGAAGTGAAAAGTCCGCAACTGCAGGAGCTGCTGACCAATCACAGCCCAGTATACAGCCCTACATGTCCAGAAGGTAAGAACAGAACAGGATCCACTGTTGGTTTGTCACAGTTTCCGGTGTAGGCGGTAACTGCTTTTAAATGTATTGATGGTAACAAACTAGGTGTATTGTTTTTAAGACAATCCTCCACTCTTACGGAGCAACACTAGAGAAGCAGTGGTGTCTCAAAAGAGCTACTTTATTAGGTTTTTCCAATTTCTATCGCAATAATAAACATAGTTTAGTATCTGGATATGTCTTATAGTGGTGCGTATTGTATCACCAGATAAAAGGTGATGATTTTTCAGTGTGTGTGTATATAGCAGAATAAAAATCACATTGTGTTTTCCTTTTTTGATTCCCAGGGCCCAAGTCTGAAGTTGTTCTGAAATCTGCCTGGCAACAGCTCCTGAGTTTACAGCAGGTTAATGAAGAGTCTGAAGTGAGCAGTAAGAAATTAGATGTACAACAAACCAGTCCAAAGCACGATCAGCTGAAACTTGCCCATGAGAAGTCATCAGTTCCCAATGCTGTTCCTTCAACACCCAGTCCAACAACGGTTGTAACACTGCTCAACCAGAATGTGGGTTATCCACTTGTACTCAAACAGACTCCATATTTCATTGTCCCATCCAGTACGACCACGTCACCCTCTGCATCTGTAGCTACCAGTAAGACCTCTGCATTATCTATGACCAGTAAGACCACATCACCAACGATAGTGACCAGTAAGTCCACTTCAGTGTCTTTAGCAACCAGTAGGACCACTTCAGCAGCTATGGTAACGGGTCAGAGTGGTCCGGTGTCTTCGATGGCCAATCAGAGCGGATCTGTGTCTATCACGTCCAATCGGAGTGCTCTGATGACTATCTTGACCAAACAAACGACGCCAAAGCAACCAGTCAGAGGGAATGTTCCGCCTTCTGTGACTTCACCAAACAATCAGAAACCTGCGAGTTGTGAGACCGAGACTTTGAGTAATCCGAGGACTCTACAATCGCCTCCAAGTTCACCCGGCCGCTCGGAAGCTTCATCCCCTGTGGCAGCCCAATCAGAGGCAGATTCCTCTGCTGTGGCAGCCCAATCAGAGGCCAAATCCTCTGAGGGCCCACAGGACTCGCTTTCCCAGAGACCTCAGCGGCTGGCACAAAAATGTCCCCAATGTGGCAAGTGTTTCTTCTACCGAAACCAGGTAAGCTAAGCATCAAAACACAATCTATACAATTTAAACATGGAATTGACAACGATTTCACAAATAGAGCCTTGGTACATGCTAGATTTACTGTTTGCCCCAAACATTGCACTATAAATGATCAGCGACAGTCTAAGACAAAAAATCCAAAGAACACACTGTCTGAACATGTATTGTGTACTAAACCCTCTTGATTATTGATGTACCAGTTGTATATTTGTAAATTATAATTTTTTATTTAAAATCTTGAACATCATTATGTGTAGGTCATGAAACACCTTGAGAGCAACCGTGCCTGTTCCTCAGTCTCTCGAGCCATCAGAACGCTGCATTGTTTCCAGTGTCCCGCCGCATTTCAGACCAAAGCAGAGCTGCGGACACACTCGCTCACTCACCGCCCCCAGACCCCCATTCTGGGAAAATCGAAAAGCCGTAGCGGCACAGCAAAAGGAGCAAAGAATTACCTCAAAAGTAGCACTATGGACCAGCAATCCTCATCAAAGCAGGCTGCAGAGGTGATCTTCTTCTTATAAACTACTGCTATTACTTCGATTGGTTCTGGGTATTGAAAGCATCAAGGATTGAATTAAATAGTGTAAATTCTATAATACGAATGTGTGTGTGTGTACACTTTGTACAATGGTTACTTAAAATGAAGTGCTTGAAAGGTGGAAAAGCTCCTAAGAGGATGTACTAGTGTTTCTTTCTATGTCCAGGGCGGGCTGTCATTCTGCTGCTCTCTGTGTGACAAGCGCTTCAGGAACCAGTCTCTGCTGCTGAATCACCTGGACAACCAGCACGTCCTGAAGGGAGAAGAGCCGCGCTTCGACTGCATCCATTGTGACCAGACCTTCACAGGTGACTTGTTTCAGCTTCCAAACCAGGCGTGCACTGTTTTTGGTTAAATATCTAATTTAGATTTTTGGGACAAACATTACTGGAGTAATTATAAAGTGATAACTCAAGAGTTGCATTAAAAAACTCAGTAATAACACACTTTTTAGATATCCACAGTCTTAAAGTAGCAATATTTAAGAATTGCATGTCAAGTCATTATTAAATGGCCTATAATACAATACAATACAAGTTATTCTTGTATAGCCCTAAATCACAACAGTTGTCATCTCAGAGGACCGTTGAAATCGCAGGGAATCAGAAATTAAGACACAAAAAATATAGAACACATCGTATTGGACGTAGAATACTTCTTTAACTGATATATTTGAATTTCAAAATTGGATTTACAGCTCCTTAATCTTCCTTTTTTTTCATCTCATTACCCCGCTCTCCACCGTTTTACCAAGCAGAAAGTCCATGACCTGGGTTGCCAGAACTCACTGCGTCGAGCTAATCTCACTGGTAAAGCAACATGTCAGGCCACAGTACTAAAAAATGTGTTGAATAAAGGTAGCATGACCGACAGGATGCAAGGGCTACAGACCAGTGGCACTAACATCTGTCATAATGAAGACTTTTGAGAGGATAGTACTCAGACTGCTCATGCCACAGGTTGAGCAGGTTCTCGACCCCCCTGCTGTTTGCCTATCAGGAGAAAATGGGAGTGGATGACGCGGTCCTCTACATGCTCCATCGATCCATGTCCTTCCTGGACGGCCCTGGGGCATGTGTGAGGCTGATGGTCTTCGACTTCTCCAGTGCATTAACACCATCCAACATCTCTTACTGAGGGAGAAACTGGAGAAGACTGGAGTTGATTCCATCTTACCAACTGGATTTACGATTACCTCACTGTAAGGTCACAGTATGTCAGGTTAGGGAAGAGCGTGTCTGGGACTGTAAGCAATATGGGAGCGCCACAGGGTACCGTTTTGGCTCCCTTCCTCTTCACAATTTACACTGCAGACTTTGCACACAACTCTGCTACATGCCATGTACAAAAATACTCAGACGATACCGCTGTTGTGGCATGTGTGAAGGGGGGAGGATGAAGCACAGTACAGGGAGTTTGTAGCTGCCTTCTCAGACTGGAGTGAGAAATATTGACTCATTCTCAATGCGTCCAAGACCAAGGAGATGATCATCAACTTTCACAGGAGCCCTTCCCATCGACCGGTCAGAGTAAATGGACAGGACATCGAAGTGGTTCAGTCCTATAAATATCTGGGAGTCTACAAGAAAGGTCAGAGCAGACTTTTCTTTCTGAGTAGACTGAGGTCCTTTGATGTGAGCAGTCAAATGTTGCATATTTATTACCAGTCTGTGGAAGCTAGTGCCATGTTCTTCGGGGTTGCGTGTTGGGGCGGCAGTCTGAGAGACAGTAACCGGCTCAACAGGCTGGTCAGGAAAAATGTCTCTGTGATGGGGAGAAGTCATGGATCTATAATAATAACTGGATAGGGTATTACTAGCTTACAGCTGTCCCACCCATGGGCACAGGGGGCGCCCGTGGTACTGCTAACTAAATTCACGCAGGCTACCCAGAAAAAATCCCATAGAACTCAATGTAAATTAAAACAGCTCAACCTCAGCTGACAGAGAACCTACAGCATCATAAAGATTGGATTTTGTGGGGATTTTAGTGTCCCTTGTCATCCTGAACTTTTTTTCTTCGGTTTTCTTTAAATCCACACTTTACTGCCACAAACTCTGCTGCTTTCCTTCCCGCTCTGGCTCCGCTCTTCCGCTGCTCTGATTAGTCAGAGCGCGGCTGAGCCCCTCTGTGCGCGTACATGAAAGCCATACACGCACGTTTGGCGCAACGCATCATGGGAGCTCGTCCACTGCGCAGAACCAGGAGGACCAGATGATGCCCAAATATAGGCGAGTTCTGCTGATCTCCTGGTCTCTGTGAAGTCCCATGCGCTGCTGAGCACAAGCCATTCATTTGAATAGAACGCCATCTTGGATCACCGGGGCTTGGGAGAAGTGTGGACTAATGCAGGGCATCCTGGGTAACTTCAGACACCCTCTGCATGACAGTATGGCTGCTTAGAGGAGTAATCAAAGCAACAGGCTTTGATTACTACGCTGCCGAACGGAACGTTTCAAGAGATGCTTTTTTCCTTTGGCTGTCAGACTGTACAACAAACTTGGATGAGTCTTCTGCTGCTGGACACCTGCATTTCTCCTACGGGGAATCAATAAAGTATCTATCTAATCTAAAGGGAGGATTTCTATTGGGGGGCCTTTTTGAAAAAGGTGTTTGTTATAGATTTGTTGTTGACAAAACTATTATGTATTCAGCTATTATGGTCCTAGCTGGATTTGTCTGCATATCTGGCAACCTGAGTCATGGAGAGTGGGAGAAGACTACAGATTATTGACCATGATTGCAGTATCACTTTTGGCCAGATTTGTACATATTGCTCCTTTTAATGCACATTTGAAGAAAAATAATCTCAATTTAAAAAACTGTTTATGGTAAGCAAATTTTAAGTTTCTGTGATTTGATAATTGCAGTCACTGAAATCGTAATGGCGAATAATATTGCAGTCCTAACTTCTTTATAATATCATCGTCAAACAAACTTTTTATTCCACTTGTACCAGAATGTGTCTGTAAAGTGACTGTTTGTTTTGTGACAGGCTCCACCCTCCTCCGCATACACCAGCGCTCTCACACGCCCCGGCCCTTCGTCTGTGAGGTGTGCGGTAAAGGTTTTCCATCTGAGTCTGCACTGGCAAACCACTCAAAACGCCACGAGGCCAAGAGCTGCCTGTGCCACACGTGTGGCCGCGGCTTTTCGAACCGCGCCTCTCTTCGCTCTCACGTTCGCACTCACACAGGAGAGCTGCCATACACGTGCACCATCTGCGGCCAGAGCTTCCGTTTTAGCGCAGGACTCCGGATGCATGAGCGTCGGCGCCACCTGGGGCACAAACCCTACACCTGCACAGTCTGTGGCAAAGCTTTCTCTGGTGGAGGAGACCTGCAGGCACACACTCGCATTCATACAGGTACTGCCTCATTCTGGAACATACTGGCACATCAATAGCTGACATGTTGGACGGGCATGTAGGCCGCATAGAAATGTAAATTCAGATCCTCCTTGTTATCGCGGCCGGTGTTCTGTTGAATTGTGCCGCTTGTCGAGTTGAGCTGCCTCAGCTGTTTTATGATGTAATGCAAACCTGCGCAGGCGCGTGTCACGGCAGCCGAAGCAATCCAAGATGGCGGACATAAAGATTGTGAATTGCATTAAAAGTTTAAATACAAACGAATTAAGACATGAATGTCACTTTTAATGCAATTTGAGGTGAGATGTTGGTAGTTCCATGTTATATGTGGGCTTTAAGAGTCAAAGTTTTGTTTAAGCACTCAACTGCTCATGTGAAACCACACTGCTGCTGTGTGAGAGCGACGCCTTTCCTGTCGAATTGAGCTGCGGCATACGTCATTTTCCTAGCGTAGGCCGATGACTCGTCCTGTGGCTAACTCAACAGCTAGACCAGTCAACAGACCAGTCAACAGGCCAGTCGGGTTGTCGACCGACTGGCCGACAAAAACTAAAGCCTAGCGTACATCGGACTGGCAACTGATTATATCCGTCGCATGTGAGTTGCTGCCCCGCACACATCGACAATCTGACGAAAACAGGCAACTCCCAGTAGCAGACGAGTCTCGGGAATAACAGCGTGTACATCGACAGCAACTGGCCTCAACTACAGTGTGTTTTCTGACATAAACTGTTGCGGGCTCGCAATACACGCAATACACACACGTTGTCGGAGCGGCGCATGGAGTGCGCACATTGGGTCATATCTCCGAAACTGAGGACAACTAGTTGCCGAAAAGTAGAACATGGGCAACTGACTGAAACTGGAGACCGACTGTTTATCTCCAGTTGTAAGAGCGCGCACATCGACCGATTTCGGCAACTGATCATCTCCATCATCTACTCTCAGTTGCCAAAAGCCGCCTTGCAACTAGTTGTCCCCAGTTTCTCTGTCGATGTACGCTAGGCTTAAGTTGGAAACTATTTGCTGTCGAGTTAGCCACAGGACGCGTCGTCGGCCTGCGTCAGTAAAATGACGTATGCCGCAGCTCAACTCGATAGGAAAGGTACTGCTATCACACAGTTGACTACTTAAACCAAACTTTACACGAAACTTTGACTCTTAAAACCCACATGTAACAACATGAAACCATCAACATCTCGCCTCAAATTGCATTAAAAGTGACATTTGTGTCTTAATTTGTTCGTATTTAAACTTTTAAAGCAATTCACGGACTTTATGTGCGCCATTTTGGATTGCCTTGGCTGCCATGAAACGCGTAAGCACAGGTTTGCATTACATCATAAACAGCTGAGGCAGCTCAACTCGACAGAACCCTGGAACACCTTCCAGCTCTTTGTTAGAGAAGCTATACCTGGTTTATTTTCTAATGAGTTCATAAAAATGTTACTACATACAAGTTGTATTAAAATCCGTAATTTAATTGAAAACTTGAGCTGATTGATTCAGCTGTGTATGAATTCAGGCCGTATATAGTGCTGAGTAGAAACTTAGGGTGACGCTCGTTTTCCTCTACTCACAGAACGGGCAGCGGCGCTGTTACGAACAGGCTGCGTCCTCTAGCCTCTACAGCGCTGGTAAACTCAGTAGCATGTTAGCAGAATTGGCTATAACTCCTCCTGCTGTAACTGCATACACAGCAAAACAACTCAACACTGAGGAAGAGAAGAGGGAACTAAAGCGAAAAATGATCAAAGAAATCAAGCCGGGGTGAACATTGCTAGCATACATTGTATCCTCTGGAGAGACCTGCGGGAGCGGACCGCCTTGGACTACTTTTCCTTGATGCCTGAATTGTGCAGTAACATATTGCCTTTCAGGGGAGAAGCCGTACAGTTGTCGAGACTGTGGAAGGAGGTTTGCGGTTTCATCTCAACTGGTCACACACCGGCGAACGCACACAGGTGAGGTCAAACTGGGCTCGGCATAACCCTTCTTCTCACAAGGACACACTCATGCCCACTCTTGAGTCGATCAACTGCTGATGCAATGTGACGCTACTAAACAAATGTACCCTGGTCCACTTCAGATATGTATTCATTACCATAGACAGACTGGCACACAGGGACAACAATCAGCAGAAGTAGTAACAATGTGGAGTGAACAAAACATTCGCCGTTTGGAAATGCTGTTGGATCATCTTCTGTATTGCACTGTGCATAATCTGATATCACTAATCAACAGTCCAGGATCTTTGGGTTAGGTTTAAGAAAAGTGTAAATGTATGAGTCCACGATCAATTTGTAGCAATCGTCCTGGACTGTCGACTACTTGTTGACAACTGATACGAACAACTATGCACAGGCAACAGTGCCAGACGGGCTGTATGTGAAGGGTGAGTTGTCTGTCTATGCAAGTTGGAAGCCTAAAAATGTATAGGACAATGATGGAAGTGAGTAGCAACTGAACTCATTGAGACGGAAGGAGATATTCAAAAAAAAATTTACTCTTATGAAGAATACCAGAGTTTCAATTACAAACTTGCATAACCTCTGAGGAGAGATTTAGATTTGTTAGTTTATGGAATCTATTATATTTTGGTAAACTCACTACAGCAAGTTTCAAATGGTTTGTTTGATAAACTATGGTTCAAATGGTTTATTTAATAAACCATTTGACCTGATCAGCACCTCCCACTGATGGTACCTCATGGGAGGTACTGATCAGAGTATTAGACCCATGTTATCTTAGGGCGCCACCTTGACTGGCTCTACCACTAAAAGCTTGTACAATAGTTCAGGTCGTTGGTGAATGTGACTGAGACAGATGCAAATTAGCCCAAAGCTACAATCGGGAGACGTGTGTTCATTTGGATCCCAACCAAATGAACACATTTTAAAAAGTGGTCCATTGTGAGCACTCCCACCCACCCTATGTTTCAGGAGAGTGTCCGTACCTGTGTCCAGAATGTGGGGAAGGTTAAAGCTCAAGTTCTGGACTCAAGTGCCACATTTAAAAGCACAGGAACATCCACCCGTACTCCTGCCCCAAGACTTACACCCTCTGCAACTATTTAACCAGGCACCTACGAAGTCACTTGCAGGACACTGAACTTCAGACTAGTTGGATCTACTCACTGGTCTGTTGGGCACAGAGAAGAAGTGAGTCAGGGAGACCTAGTTCAGTCAGATGTCCTTTCTCACCTTGGCAAGAGCACTCTCAGTGCTGGACCAGACCATATCAAATGATCAAGTGCTGATGAATGGGTGTGTGGTATCCAGGCTGCTATACTTAAGGAAAGACTTTGTCTTCAGTTTTCAGGGGCTTTGAAGTTTACTATCCGTGTGAGTGAAGGTAACAAACTTCACAGAAGAGGCTTTGGAAATCTAGTAAGAAATAAATCCAGGCTGCAGGTGGATGAACTCTGCACTAGGAGTGTGACAAAATATTGATATGGTGATGTATCGTGATACTTTCTCACGCAATCGATTATTGATATGCTTTTGCTAAGTATCAATTTCCTTTTTTTTTTTTTTTCAAAATTGTATGTTTTTTTTTTTTAAGCTTTATTTGAAAAAAAAAAAAAAAAAATTATATATATATATAATATATATATATTTATATATATATATATATATATATATAATAATATATATAATAATATATATATAATAATATATATATAATATATATATATATAATAATATATATATATATTATAAATATATATATATATATATATATATATTTATAAATATATATATATATTATATATATATATATATTATATATATATATATATATATATATATATATATATATATATATATTTATATATTATATATATAAATATATAAATATAATATAGTGTAACAAATATACAGTATTCGGCCCCCTTGAACCTTTCGCCACATTTCAGGCTTCAAACATAAAGATAGAAAATTAATTTTTTGTCATGAATCAACAACAAGTGGGACACAATCGTGAAGTGGAACGAAATTTATTGGATCATTTAAACTTTTTTAACAAATAAAAAACTGAAAAGTGGGGCGTGCAATATTATTCGGCCCCTTTACTTTCAGTGCAGTAAACTCACTCCAGAAGTTCAGTGAGGATCTTTGAATGATCCAATGTTGTCCTAAATGACTGATGATGATAAATAGAATGCACCTGTGTGTAATCAAGTCTCCGTATAAATGCACCTGCTCTTTGATAGTCCCAGGGTTCTGTTTAAAGCGCAGAGAGAACCATGAAGACAAAAGAACACACCAGGCAGGTCCGAGATACTGTTGTGGAGAAGTTTAAAGCCGGATTTGGATACAAAATGATTTCCCAAGCTTACAAAAAAATGTGTAAACATGTTTTGAACACTTTTGCACCTCACTGTACACACCACTCAGCCCAGACAGGGTTTTGTTAGTTTTTGTGGCATGCCCATTGACGATTATGCCCTCTCGTTTCAGGAGAGAAGCCGTATGCGTGCGCTCAGTGTGGCAAGAAGTACAGCCGGAGTCAGCAGCTCAAAAACCATTTACAGCTCCACGCCAACGCTCGACCCTACGCCTGTCCCCACTGCCCCAAGACCTACACCTGCAACCCCCACCTGAACCGGCACCTGAGGAGTCATCAGGTCTGACTCGGCCAAAGTGACTGTACAGGCTGTATTCAGGGGATAGCCTGAATACAAACAGCATTTCCTTCTGCACACATCTCGAAGGACACAGACAATGCAAAATAGTCTTTCAAACTACCATAGTTTTTGCCATGATGGTTCCTCAGAATGGCTGAAATTATGAATTCAGGACTTCCCGTGAACTTTTCCTGTCCTTTTTTTTTCCACTCATTTTATTTCTGTTAATAGTCCATCTCCAAACTCTGGAACCTAATGGGTTGATTCTCACACATAAAATTCTGAAATAGATCATTCTCAAGATCATGTTAAATAAACATTTAAATTGAGCTGTGTGGTAGCTCTGTAATATGGGATTCATACGTATACATTTTAATTGGGCAATACATTTTAATTGGGCAATACCTTAAGTTTGGATTGTGGCACCACCTTTTGTGGAAAGACTGGTTTGTTTTTGTTCAAGGATTTGAACTTTGCCAGTCCCAGCTATTGGTCCAGCTTGTAATATGGACCCGGCTGCAAATTGTCACTAATGGAATAGTATTTTCATAAGCTTTATTGTGAGTAGGAAGTTGTGCGCTCTGAGACAGCTGGCAAAAGACAGACGGCCCATTATTTAATCAAAATGTTATAGAAAGACAAATGTTCTGATAAATAAAAATGTCATCTATTTGGTTTAAACGTTTGTCAGTCTCGATGTACAAATAGAATGGTTTGAGTTTGAACTTTACACGTGTTCATAATTATGAAACTCCTAAACTTTTAAGAGTTCTTTAGATTAAGACGTGCTTTTTGGTCTAATTGACATTGTTATTAGTTAAATTTAAAAAACCTGACCTTTTCTTAAATTTCTTAAACCATGAATCATCTAAATCCTGCTTCCACTGCATGACAGTTGAACCTTGCTCAAAGTTCCCCCACGTACCACGTGCTGGAATATAAAACCTGAATCTCGTGATTTGTGTTATTGCTTCACAATTAGTGAATCTGAACTGGGGTCTGCCTTTGAGGAGCTGGCTCATTGTAAGAGTAAAAGCCAGACTATGTCAAACCCTCTTCATCTTGAGTGTAAAATATAAAGACATTCTTTGAGAGGATGGGCCACTTCTATAGTCTGAACAAAGAGGCCCAAGAAAAGTTTAACGTATGTAAATAGATTTTTAGAATAAACAGAATTGAACACTGATAACTTTCTTCAGGGACAATTTATCTGCATTACTTTGCTGGCTTCTTTCTAGAGTTAGCCCTTCAAGAAGAATTGTACTGTATCCATGGCTACTTTCTTGTTGGCACATCATTCAAAACACTCGCATGAGCTTTGCTGAGTTGGCGTGCAATGTTTAGCAGTAAGTTCAATTGTACAATAGAGAATCCCAAATCTATAAACAAATGAAAGTCCCCATCAGTCAAACAAAGTGAGAAGTCAGATTAAATAGTACTTTTAATCATAACTTTGCACACTACCTCAGAGCCAAAATGTCCGTCTGCAAATAATGTTTGAGTGCTCAAAGTCCGTATGCGTGATATCTGCTGAGGCCTATGTCTCCTGGAGCATGGCGTCCTTGGCTTTCTGCAGGTTGTGCTCCACGGCGCTGTCTAAAAACTGCACCCAGGTCACCTCCGCCTCTCCACAGACGTGACTGGATCTGAAGGAAATAAGATTCAACATGGTGTACGTTTAAAATAATTAAATGGGTCAAATCACAAACTGACCAAGTGTCTCAATGAAGTCATTCACGGTTGACGGCACAGCCAAAAAGTGAATTTGAAATCAGTTAAGAAAATTGTGACATTTTGCTTCTAAATACAAAGTTCAAACAAATGATCAACACTTTTGAGTTATTTCTATATCATATACAAAATAACATAAGTATAACCAAATAATTGTGAACATTATAGAAAATAAAATGTATCATCTAAGTAACCCACTGGTTTTTGGTACAAAGATTCAAAACCATATTAAATTATAAACTTAAGTATAGGGAATAAAAGATTACCTGACAATGTTGAGGACCTTCTTTAAAATGGAAGCCAGTTTAAAAGCCTATGGAGACACGTGACAGCTGTAAGTGTGTGTGGACATGTGCTGTGTTCACAAGTAAAGTGAGAGAGTCATACGTTGTTTTCCACTCCGCTATAGTCCATGGGAGGGTAGAGGCACAGGGCCAGGTCATCCACACTGCAATCAAAACAAAACATCTTATCTGACCGTCAACCTGCACAGGGGAATTGCCCAAATCAAACTTTTTCATAAGAGAAATTTCCAAGTATGGTCTGTTTTACATTGGAAATTCAGAGACAGGAGGTATTTAAAACAGCACTAGAGAATTTACCAGGACCACAAGACGTTCTGAGACGGGTGTGTCCTGTACTGTTGCATTTGTATAAAGAGCCATACGTGTTCACTCTAGCTTGAATGGCCAATGTGTGGTAATCGGAGACGCAACCAGTGGAAAAAGAAAGAAAAGATACTTATTTGGCCATTTTTTGTCTAAAACTACAGTTTAAATTTGGTCAAAAACATGCATTTCATTGATTTCCTCGGGTCAGTATGGAGGGAAATATGTCCATTTGTCTCTGCCGAGCATTTACTTCAAAAGTTATGCCACATTCTATGTCTTTTTCTTGAGATGCTTCTGAGGAAGAAACATGTCAAGATAATAACATTGCTATCTTACATTTGTCTGGTATAGAAGAATCAGAAATATTTGTTATTGCCATTGCCACAGCAGCTGTTTACCCAGGGCTGAGCTCTTTGCAGACGTCGGCCAGGTCGTCGAGCTGAGCCAGGCTGTGCAGCGTGCTCACGTCCGCATGGCTCCTCACTGCAGAAGTCAGCTTCCTCAGACAGGCAGCAGAAGCTTTCATCAGCCCCTGGCACGGAGCCGTGACCCGCCGGTCCTGCTCAGACCAGTACGTGTCCTGGTTTCCCCGGGGCCCCGCCTCCTCGATGATGTCGTCCAGCATGTCACCAAAGGGGTCCTGCACCTCTGACAGAGCCTAAGGCAGATAAATATTTCAAATGTTCCTTGTGTTTAAAGAAGTAGTCTAATAGGCTTCATCATTCACATATTTGAGAAGGGAACATTTAAACAGGGGTGAAGGCGACATCCACAAGTTCCTGATTTTATCATTGGCGAAGCTAAAAACAACTCCAAGTATGTTTTATACATTTCGGTATCGGCTGATGGTAGGCGTGTACAAAGAGATACCGGTTGAGGTTGTCCCCGCACTTTCCTCCTTAGAAGAAACGAAGGAGAGGTCTGTGATTGTGTGGCAATATTTTACATTATCAGAAAAAGATCAGTGTTATGCAGTTTGCAGTAGGTGTTCCAGTGAGATTTCAAGAGGGGGGACTGCTAGAAAATCATTAAAAACAATGAATCTCATTGGATATTTGAGAAAAAAGCATGAGGCGTTCATGAGGCGTTTCGGAATCATTTTTATCGCCATATAAGTAACAGGAAGTCACAGACAAGGAAATTGCTATGAAGGGCAGTAAAGTGCCCTTCATAAGTGCATCTGAGCCTCCCTAATGTTTTCAATGAGGGAACAATGTTATAAGGTTAAAAAAAAGTGTCCTTTAAAATGTTGGATTATTAATATCCTAGTAGTAGTAGTAGTTACCATGGCAACCAAAAATTTCATTATCAATCTTTTAGAAGAATACAAGAAGGGGTTTTGAATGGGGAATTGTACTTTCAAACACGTTAAGCTACACACACTTCACAGCAGCAGATACACAGCAGTAGAAATATATGAGCTTTAAGAGGTACACCAAAAGAAAACTGTACCTCTTCTATCTCCTGGATGGCGTCTTTGATGACTCCCACTTCCCCGGATATAACCGCCAAAAGCCCTGCTTTGTTATCTGTGCACCAGCAGAGAAAGTACAGTGTTACTAGTAAGTAAGACTGGGTCCGCAAATTGGCCGCAGGTTTTAATGATATAATGTAACACTTAACTAACAATGGAGAAAAACATAACCGACAGACAATTGTGTAAACCTATTCTTACAATAAATCAAAGATCAAATTCAGAGGTAGAATCTACGGCAAGAAGTTCCTCCACCTGCTGCAAGAGGTCCGGGACAGAGATTAGTCCCTTTCGGTTTGCTCCATCTATGGACGTTCTTTGTTTATCTGACAACTGAACTTAAGCTTCCTCTAATTATATTTCAAATAAAAATGCAGCAACTCATCAATTACTCAAAAGAATTATTATCAATAAAATAAGAAATATTATTACAGTGATAGTCTGTAACTCTAAATTAATTACAAATTTTAGGAAATGTGTTAAATTGACCTCCTGGCCTTAAATGTTGATATAAAATAAGTCATTTTATTAATTCTAATATTACGGGCAAGTCCCGCCTTCCCGGCTCTTAGCTATAGTTCAGAATCCACGGTGCCGTCGAGGTTAACCAATCGAGTCATGCCCAGGGCTGTCAATCATCGGCGCTGATGCTCGCAGCTGCGCGCATGCGCAGTTTGTTTTCGCGGAGCCTCCGAATCAAGCCTCCATTAGCCTCTAGAACTACATGAAAACTGAACAAAGAATTCTGAACATCCGCGCTGAGGTACTCATGTATATACTGAACCTATATCCATATTCAGATCCTCTGCAGATGTGTCCTATAATGTGCAATTCATGATAATAGCACTTCCTGGTTTGCCATTATTTTTTTCATTAAAACGTTCACAAATAATTCTGAAAAACTCCGTGCATGTGTATTAAAAATGTATATGTATAATGTGTTCTCTGATTAACATTTCAAAGTGTTACGGAAACGTAGGTGTAGACCAATCAGAAGGAAGGGGGAGGGAGCTTGCGTTGTTTTTTTCAAATCAAGTACCTCTCTGTCTCTCGGACAAACTCCAGACAATCACTTTAACTACAGCCTGGCACTTTACCTAAAGCACAGTTGTTGGAATAATACTTTTGGAAAAAAAACAAGCAGTCAAAGATTTCACACATCTTCAGCACGGACCTCTCGGCAGCGTTTGGAAGCGGTCGCAGGCTGACCACACTGTCCCGGTCGAGGTCAGCTGGTCCTGGCTCAAACTGCCCACAGAGAAGACATGTGTGGGTCACTTTGAGCTGTGATAAAGAGAGTCCAGAGGAATTCCAGAATTCCAGTGTGACCATACCTCTCCAGCGGTGTGGTGATGATCACGTCCAGTAGCTGCGTCAGTCCTTCCAACACGTCCACTGTGGCGTCCCGCACTTGCCGCCGGAGAGTCACGCCTAAGGACCAACAACACTTACATTCAAATATATTAAATGTGGTTATAATCTAAACAAGTATCTATGTCATGTTACTTGTTGCACAGTATGGTTTGAGGGTAAAGAATTCACCCAAAAAGTGAGAACTATGTTGAATTATTATCAAGTAGTAATCAGGCACAAGCCAGTTCTGTGGTCTTACTTGTGTAAGAATCCACAAGTAATGAGTCTTTGCTGCTGCAGAACCTGGACAACTTGCCATCATTAATGAAAAAAGAAATTATTCAGTACAGATATAAATCCAACAATTAGTTTAACCAATAGTTAGAGTAAACATCACAAGTGATCTTGCGTCAATAAACCCATACACAAACAATTACTGCTAAGGGTGGCTATAATGCCAGCCAGGGGACACTAGGTCAAACATCAGTGTAATAATCAGTGTAATAATCACTTGAAAACTGCATTTTGTATTTGTTAGGATTTGTTTGTGTTTGATATAAATCTTGGCTTTATAATCATAACAAACGTTTTAGCAATGAACACAAAAAGGTTTTTTCTTCGCAGAAATGAAGTCCATGAAGATTGGAAAATGATAAAATTCTATAGTACCCCGACTCTTTGGCAGCCAGTAGTAGACTGTGGATAATGTGAGGACGCTCTTCAGAATGGAGTCCGTTATCTTTTCTCCGTCCTGAAATAGATGGCTGAAAGTTCATACTTCTATTTCTATTGATTTGTGATTCACTCATTAATATGTACCATTGCAGTTGATAAAAGTACCTGTGGTGAGGGAAGAGGAGCTTTAGAATAAGCCAGGCTGAGCTTGGTGGCTTCCTGAGACACAGCTTTCACCGCTTGACCTATTATTATGAAGCACTATTATTTATGGTTATGGTTGCAAATGATGTATAAGCATCAACACAGTAGCTTTCTAAATCTCTGACAAAGAAAAAAAGTCAAGAGAAATTTATAGTGTAACAGATGTCTTTTGGGCTTTACAAAACAATCTGTGCTCATAAAACTTAAGAAAAGTACATTACTCAAAGTTTCCCAGAAGTTGTGGAGGTTGAACTCTGCCTCATCCTCGTTTGACTCTCCATCTGGAAACAGTTCAGAAATAGCTAAAATATATATATATATAAATTGTAAATCGTTTTACATACAAATTTGGTTCACAATATGGTTTGAAAGTAAGAATTCAATAGAAAACAACGTCTAAAGATACACATGAGTCAATTTTTGTGTTTGGTAATCAAATTGCTCCACAAAAAGTAAGTAATTGTTGAAATATACTTCAATAACATTATTTTTCGTCTTTATTTGAGAACACTGTTACCATCTTACAGCAGTTTCCCCAATGAAACGTGTATTGTTTTACTAATACAAAACTAGACTTGACGGTGCTGCTTTGAATTGGAAAAAACATTGCAATACTGCGATTTCGATTCGATTGTGATTAAAGATAAGGAATCTAACTTTCAAATCACACAAAATAGAACAAGTAATTAAATCCATGAAACTAGTTCCTCGCTCCCAAAACAGTTTGCTGCGATGCATATATTTGTTTTTTATTTCTATAACCTCTGTTACATCTATAACGTTTCACTATTGAAGAGTGAATAATACAGGACAGCCTTACTCAGCCCAGAGTCAGAGTGACTCACGGAGCAAGATATGTTTTCAAACATGACATAGAGAGCATATTGTTGTCTGATTTCGCGTTAGTTCTGCAAAACTCTGCCTGTCCAAACAAACAAAATGTTTTATTTATCATACATAATCGTAAGATACCCCATCCTTTTTATTCTTGCATGCCTACATGTTGTTTACATCTTTCAGGCATGATAGAAACGTCGCATGCTAATGTTGCTAACGCTAATGGCAGCGCGCTCACCTCGCACTTTATCCCGGATGCACTGGATGGAGTTGACAAGGTTCCGCAGGGTCACGCGTAAGTCCCCGTCGTTGTTTTGGGAGCTCATGTTGTTTGTTTAAAGTTTAGTTTGTAGAAATGTGACCGCAGCGGAAATGTGATGCTAGCGAAGGCATGTGGTGTGTTGTGGAACTGTAGAGGAGAGAGCATGCACCCGCGGATGGGTTTAGCGAAGGCACATTTTTCTGCGCGGGATGTTGAATGTTTGGCGATTTCCAGTGGACATCAAGTGGCATTGCATCATGTTTTACGTTAGGCAGTACGTTAAGCAGATATTTTGTTCTCACAACTTGATACTTTACTACTCATGTTGTACATAAAATATACAATATTGTAGTGGGTTCACATAATTCACCCTAGGAATTTAGCTACCCTCAAAAGTTTCGGGGGGGACAGTTTATACCCGGCGGATTTTCCTGTTTACAAGTTCGTTGTAGCTTTAATACTGACTTTTAATGGCATTATCACGGCTAAAATTGTCACCTCTGTTTGACACTCCGCGTCTGACTTATACAGTCTATGGTCTGACTCCGTTCCTTGCTCGGCTCCACAATAATTGGCGTGGCGCATTTGTGCAACGAAGGTCTTCAGTTCGATTCCACCTTCAGGTCTTTCTTTGTGGTTTCCCGTAGCACTAAAAACATGTACTTAAGATGGTTGGGGACTTCAATGCGCCTGTGTTCGGCGTCTCGCTCCTGTCATCACTGTGGGGAGTAAATGGAAATGACTGGTAAAGCGCAGTGTGACCATAGTTTGTGAAATGTTTGTGCTGAGATCAAAAATAGCCACAAAAGGCATATTTTGTCCTTAAATATGTTTTGTTCAAACAGAATAGAAGTATATTTAAAATGGCAGCAAATCCAAAAAGGAAAATACAAAATACAGTTGAGTAGCACTATAGTTATTAACCAGAGATTGTCCTCACATAGAGTAAATGATTCAGCAGAGGCCAAAAGGGATTTCTGACAGTTATGGTATAAGCTGAGGTCAGCTTATTCCATAACTGTCAGAAAGCCCTCGTGTTCGATATGACCAGACAGGTGATACAAATGAACCAGGAGGCACCCATTAAACTTCAGGATGTGAAACTTTAGATATTTATTTTAACTTAAATATCTATGAAACACCATATTCACACGATATAAATATGTCTTTAAAGATTTCAGCTGTGCATTTTATTTATAATTGTTGACACATTATGATTACGGTTTCCTGATGCTTGTATACAAATAACCGGCAGGGGAAGCCAAAGTCTCGTTTACATAAAGACCTAACAAAAATTGTTTCCAGGTTTTTTGTTTTATCAATGGAGAGGTGCAAAAAAGATCCACAAAACCGACTCGTACTTGTTCAGGAAGAGAGCCGTTCCTTTTCCTGGTACTATTTTTCAAACGTTTAATGTTATAACAGTCATACACGCACACGCACGCACACACACACACACACTGTCGTGGGTGAAAAGAGTCTACACTAAGCATTACACTGATCACACTCACTGGGGAGAAAAGAAAGAGACAACATATGTATAGGCATACATACAATATTACGATTATTTTCTTAAAGGGAGAGAAAATGCTGATTTTAAATACAAATGATTTGATCATCATTGAGTGGTAACTAGAATAAAATGTTTATATATTATATTAAACCCCACCCAGCGCTCACCCTCCCTCTCAAAATGTCTATACAGCTTTCTTTTTTCTGTCGATAAAAGTGGATTTTTGTTGTCCTTAGGGGACAGTAAAGTATGAGTATATTTCACAATGTTTTTGTTCTAATTTCAAGAAATGGATCCCCTGCAATGCCACTTTAGGGAAACCTGTCAGGAGCAGCGGTCACCCCACACAACTCCCACCCTGGGACTCATCTCCAGATGTTTGTGCTCTGCTGCTCAGGACTAACTGAGCTGGTATGTTTTTGAAGCTAGGGGAAACTGGAGCACCCAGAGGAAACTCAGACAGGCAAATGGAGAACATAAAAACCCAGGTCCTCTCTAGCCCAGGAATCAATCAAACTCAGATTTGTTTATTTGCCCTTGCCAGTAAAACCACATTGGAATACATTTTTAGAAGTCCCCAATGTGCACAAGACAAGTACATACATAAAACAACATTGAAAGTACAGAAATAAAACAAAACAATTGTCACTGTGAAATCCATCCATCCATCCATTTTCTACCCTTTAATCCATTTCTGGGTCAGGGGGGTGGCAGTCAGAGATGCCACCCAAGTCACATAGCACCAGCCCCTCACTGACCCTCTGCAGGTGGTGAGTCCACAGGAGGACGGCTGCTCTCTGAGTGTGAGCATAGCCTCGATCTTTCAGTGGGGGCTTTGGGCAAAGTGGGGTTAAGTGTCTTGCCCAAGGACACAACGACAGCAGTCATCAGTGGGAGTCGGTGGAGAAGGTGCAGAGGTGGGAAATGAACCCACGACCTTCTGGCCTTAAGGCCAATGCTCTACCAACTGAGCTACTGTCGCCCCTATAAAATATCTAATCTAGCTGAATAATGTTTGACAAAAAAGCAAGAATAGATTATGTTTGCCTGTAGCGTTTCGCCTTGATATAAAATGCTTCTTCTTCCAGACAAAGCAATATTTAGAATCCAATTGAAAATGTCTAGACCGAGCCTCAGACTGATGAAAACATTTGGAATCATTGGGTGCATCCTCTGGACAGTTGTTGTGTCTGGGTGTTTTTTTTCTGAGGGATTTCTCTTCCTCCTCCTCCGCTCTCAGACACAGTAATAGGCTTAGCACTTCTCTCTGTCTGCCGCCAATGACACCAGGATTAAATGAACAGTTCAGACAACATCCTACATGGCCATTGATCTGTGAATTATGCCCAAATATGTACAATTAGAAGCATGAAGGTCAGACAGTCAATTATATTTGTATTAAAACATTATTAAAAGGACTAAACCTGAAAAGCACAATTTTTTGTTGCTCACCCAAAACATGCTTGGCCCTGTTTATAAGGAGACGGCAAGTCTTGATGTAGTTCTAACGCCTGGCCAGTAGTGGGCAGTGGAACTTTTATGGATGATGGATCTCCAGACATTGATGTTATGGACAGAGATGTTTTCTAGATTTTAAAACAAAAGCATTGTCTCTGAATTAGTTTTAGGATATTTTACCAGTGAATTTTGTAGTAATAAACGTTAGTTATAACTACATGATAAGTAATTGTAAAAGCAAACTGTAATTTCCCACTTTTGCCACATAACAGGAGTGTGTAGCTGATCCTGGGTTCACACATGAAAGACCTAAATGACATCTGGTATTATTCCATGTGTGGATCATGACCATAATATTGGATATATGTGATATGAGTGTCATATTGATTTGAGACCAGTATTTTTACACTTAAAAACCGTAAATGTCTTCACAAAAATGTAGCAGTAGGTCACCGGACTAAATGCCGAGCTGTTTCAGGGCTAAATAGGGACGGTTTTAAATATTACTGTGCTTCCTGATTCTTCCAGAGTTGGCACTAAATTCAAGCAGGCTCACTTCACTCTTGTTTCGGTTCTGTTCACACACACACTTTAACATTGGTCAATACCACATCTGAGAAGAGATCAGCTGACCACCATACTAGTGTCTAATAAGTTCCCACTGAGCACACACAAACTCACAAAGTTATCATCACCTGAAAAGCTACACCCATTTCTTTTCAGCACAAACTAAGTGGGTCTGGATCATGGATTTATTATAATAACTGGATAGGGAATTGCTCGCTTAAGCCGGTCCCCAGCATGTACTAACTAATATGTACCTGTGTAAATAATACCTTATTTTTGATGACTCTTTACACTTCAGACACAAAAAACTAAATTATAATAACACCAACAAATTTTATTTTTATTTTTTTATTTCCAGGCTCTCTATGAAGGTGTCAGAGGCAGACGCCCAGGACTCTGCTGTTGCTCCTGCTGCTCCTCGTCTTCAGAGATGCAGATTCCACTGTTCTAACTATTCACGTAGTTCATATTGTTAATCCGCAGTGAAGCAGGAGGTGAAAGGTGAAGCTGGAGGTGAAGCAGGAGGTGATGGAGGTGAAGCTGGAAAAACGATGCCGTGGGATTTTGTTGCTGTCAGAGAAAGTCTCAGTTCCATTTCACCAAAAGTCTCTGAAAAAGAACACAAACATCATGTTAAAACATGGACACCTCAAAATAAAATTCAGAAATCCTTCCTATATTTAATATTAGAGGTACACAGCAGGAGAAACATACTCTGAGGAGTAACAGAAGAATAATATATTGGAAATATACACAGAAATAAAACTTAGAAGCATGGCTAACCACTTTAAACCTTTTGGAAGTGAGACTGTCATCTGCAAATGTCCTTTATTAATGACAAAAGAAACATCTGTATAATGTGCTCTTATTTCATCATTATATTTATCAGACTATTGTATTAAAAGTGCTTCATAATAAGTTAAATATACACAGTAAATGTTAATACAGTATTATACAGTATTCCCAGTCTTAGTATGGGATTATAAATTATACACAATCTATTTTATATGAATACAGATAACAGTGTTAGCATACTACATGTTAGAATACTACAGCTGCTGTGTCCATGGACTGTTTCCTCTGTGTAGCTTTAATATGTAATCAGTGGGTTTGTTTCTCCCTAAAGATGACCTTACAGATTTTGCGCAGGGAGGTATTAGCGATTGTGAAAAGTTTAAATAACTTACCAGAGACACCAACCTCCTCACTAGGCCTCCTCCATGTCACGGTGGTTATAGTCTGCAGGGCTCATGGGCTAACCACACAGTTTGTCCTCCATAGCTGTTGTGTTGTCGTCCCTGCCGTGAAATACGTTACCACGTCACTGTTGGAGGAGGCTCCTGATTGGTAGACGCTCGAGTCTTCTCCCGAAAAGTTCAACATTGTTCAACTCGAGCGTCGGCCGCGCGTGACGCGCATCACGCGCGTCAAGACGCTCAAAATCTCAAAACGCGCCGCGCCAAACGCGCGAAACGATTGAAGACGCGCTACTCGGGAGGCGCGTGACGCGCCGCGTGATCTCTTGACGCTCCTATACGCGCGTCCCCCATGTTATGTCAATGTAAACCCGACGCTTTGGACGCTCAAGACGCGTTTGGTCTGAACGCATGCGCTGACCAACGCGTTGCGCAAGTGACGTCACGCAACCTCCGTAAGCTCCGCGCCTCGCGAGTATACACTAGGCTTAAGCCATCTCTGGCTGATTTCCTAAGTAGTAGCTCTCCTTATTGAAGAAGTACATGAAAGCTATCATCAAAGTCGCCCACTGCTTCCCCATCACTGGGCAAGGCATTTGCTTCACAAAAACAAGGCTGAATTTTCATGAAGGCTTTCAAAACTTTCAAGTCAAGCTGTGAGGCGTTTTTGGTATGAACTCCCCTTAGGCCTTCCTATAAATCCAAACTTAGATTCCAAATTTACTGAGCGGAGGAGAGAACAGTTAGCAGAAGTCCAGACAGATTGATAGCACTGATAATGTGATGTGTTTCAAGGCATAGGGTTATTGTACAGCCAGACATTACCTCACTCATACTCACACACACAGACACACACCTGCATGCGCACACACTTGCGCGCACACACACACATGCATACAATAGTGACAGGATGAGAAAAACTGAGGGAGAGGTAAAAAAATGCAAGGAAGTTTATAAGGATTTAAATAACTCCATAATACATGAATTGGGGAAAAAACAGCTCTGTATGTGTGTAAATGGCAAAAGATTATTTGAATCCAGATTATATAATGCTAGGTTTTCATAAGAATATATTTATTATTGGCTAAATTTACATGAGTAAACGAGTTGGCTTTGCATGCACAATTCAGAAAAAAAATATTTATATTCTTTGACACCTGTGCAAAATCAGAACTTATTTGGCGGGGTAAATATCACCTCAATGAGCCCACAGCAGATCACGATACAGAGTAACTCTTTGGGGTTTCTGTGGGCTATGTGTGTGGATTGGGTTGTCGAGGTCCCCACCTTCAACCTATGTGCACCTGTCCCCCCAGGTGAGTCCACTGGAGGCCAGGCCCTGCAGGCTCTTTGTTAGCTCCTCCTGCTGTACTACTTAGACCCGCCCCTCGGATAGAGCATCATGTTCTCACATCAAAGGCGCTGCTGCTCTGAAGACAATCCTGCAATTACATTTTTATTGTATTTTTTTGGAAAAAGGGCCCAACAGAATTCTCCACATATCACAGATTGAGAAAATAATTGCCAAAAAAAGTTAGTAAAACCCAGGAGGGGCTAGATGCCTGTAGTCAGATGACTGATGGTGCATGTAAATGTGGATCTAGATAGGGATTTATTATGTTATATGTTAAAGAACAATATCCATCAGATAAGCCCATATCTACTGAAAACCAAGCAATCTCTCAAATGATTGTGTTGTTGAAATTTTCCACACTAAAAAGAACATGTCCGCTGGTCCCATGTCCGGTTAAAAGAGAAGAACTACACTTCTACTGTATGTTTTATCACTTATGCCTAAATACGTAGGGGTACTAATCCTGCGATTAGGTCATAGATATCAAACTTACGCAGAATCCATTGACACCATTCGCCTCAAAACTATACATTTAGACGCCAAAAACATGATTCTAGAGCATATGGTTCTAAAGTTACAGTATATGTATTTGAATACATTGGTGGCCATTTTGAAAAATATACAAGTTGCAGAGCAACCACCATGGAGGGGATGGTTGCTGAGGTGTATACATCGTCATCAGTATATAAGTGGTCTTCATTTATAGAGTGCGTTTTCAAAGACCAAAGTCATCCAAAGCGCTTCACAATGTTCAGAGTTCAAACATTGTTTCAGTCACTCCACACTTGATGAAAGTGCTGTGCATGTCTTTAGTGGTAGGGGAAACCAGAGCACCTGGAGGAAAACTATAGAGACACAGGAAGAACATGCATCCCGACCGGGATTTGAACCCAGGACCTTATCCATGGTGTTAGTGCACCTCCTCTAAGAAAATGTGTAAGTTGAGCGCAGACAAAATGACCCGAAGAACTCGAATGAATCCGCTTTCTCTGTGACAGCCATGAGTCAGTGGATCACACTGCCCACAGAGATTATTGTGTGAACTACGTTTAAAACATTTTATTAATTGACTAAGAAATGGCTACTAAAAAAAACAAGTTTACACACGTTTAACTTTGTATTAAGTGAGTGAATGAATGTATGAATGTGGGCAATATTTGAGTAGAAATTGGGGAACTGTAATTTGATTGGTATTAAATTAAATGTTTTGTAATTAATGTTATTTTAAGTATGTAAAGTGTAAGACACGGTCATGTATCTATCTACATTAAAATCAGTTTAGATGAATATATAACATCAGCCTGCCCAGGGACTACAAGTGGAAATTAGCATCTTTGCTATAACCTGGTGCAATGCATCTCTCCTTTGTGTTAATGCTTAATTGTACTGTACTTAATTGTGTCTCTGTTCACTTTTATGATTGGCCAAAGGTGAGATCCTCACAGAAAGAGAGCAATCTCGAAACATGGTAAAACTTGCTAACTATTATGCTACGACTTAGTGAGCTTTTAACCATGTTAAAACTTGTGTTGGGTAAGGTAGTAAAAATGTAGATGAATCATCTTTTTTGGGGGGACCCCTATACTTACAAGGATAGGCTACTTTAGTTGTAATGTAATATGAAAGAATCATACAAGTTATTTGATTTTGTATTAAAAATGTTTTGTCAGTTAAAGTAGTTTACATTTACACAAAAGCTGGTTTTGAAGATGAGGGGACTAACAATCAGAGTTAGCTAAGTGCATTGTTATCAGGAATTCTGGCAAATATCAGCAGACACACCTCCCGTTGCAAATCTTCAGACTATGACATCAAGGACAGAGCTGTTTTATTGTAATATTTATCTACAAACTAGTTATGGAAATGTCTCAAGTCAGATGACCATCTCTATGAGTAAATATTTTCAAGACTTTGTCAAAATAAACACCAATATTAGGGTGCTTTACCACCAGAACGAGCACATTTCAAACACTCTTCCCCATCGCAGACATGCATTGCCTCAACCTTCAGTAGCCCCAGACAGCAGGGCCTGTCTGACTCACTGGTGGTGAGGAAAAGAAAGGCTTTTTACGGGCCAGCTGTGCACCTCAGAGCCCTCATCACCAAGCGGCCCACAAACACACCAGTGTCTGAACCAGGACACGCTGTCTGCAGACAGCTCCAGAAAGACTGCCTTGTCATTTATTTTCAACCCACTAGGATTCTTGCGACGTATGTTTCGGAGCAATTATAGCCTTTGCTTATTGCTCCGTCTATATTGGTTTGGACAAGTATGGCGGCTATTCCAAGTTGAAAATAAAGTTTTCTCAGTGTGCAGTTCTGAGAAACTTACATAACGGAGACAATTGTGTGTGTGGGGGGGGGGGGGGGGGGGGGGGGGGGGGGGGGGGGGTGGGGGGGGGGGGGGGGGGAATGGGAGAATTATTTTGAGTAAAGATTAGGGCCCGTTGGTGCGTATCTCCACTGCAGGAACTTTCCCCACCGGGCCATTAACAGGAACTTTTAAGGGGCCCAACGGAGTCCCTCCTGCATGCTAGGTACTACGTTGGGCCCTGATGGGACTTGAGGTTAACCCAAGTTCTGACGCTGAGTTAAATTTTTAAATCCATCTAGGGGTAATGTTCTGTTAAAACCAGTGAGAAGTCGGAAATTATTTTTGAATTAATATACTACATTTTATACCTAATTTTTAAGCTAAGGACTGCTCGTCTTCTCAAGTTAGATGACCTTCATTACAACTGTGTGCTTTCAAGTAATTCATGCCAAGTAAGATATTTATTACAAAAGCAGTAGAATTTCCTCACGTCTACCACTAGATGAGGAAGTTTCATATTTTTTCAGGATAAAAACCATACCACTTAATTTATTCTTAGGCTTGAACACGTAATCAGAAGTGAAACAGTTGACCATATAAATATAACTCACCACCTGCAGGAGGATCAGTGAGGGGCTGGTACTCTGTGTTCTGGGTTCAGCTGACTGCCACCCAACCGACCCAGAAATGGATTAAGGGGAAGAAAATGGATGGATGGATGAATAAAAGAACCTTCTAAGCCCGTTTTAATAGTAAATTAAAACAGGGGTACCAAAAATGAAGCTCTTCGCGAAAGTTCACTGTGGTAGACCCGGCCACTGCTGCCAGATCTACAAGCCTGCTCATCCTCTACTCATTACACCAGCAAAACGCCCACATCTAATCCACCAATAACCACCAGGACAGCAAGTTAAAAGCCGGAGACGCCCACTTTCCCGGCCTTCTGAAGTTTGCAAAGCCTCCGCCGCCCCACCTCCTCCTTCTCTCATCGAAGCGTGCTTGCCTACTGCCTCTGCCGTCACCAGTGCCTAGGCCCCGGGGGGGATTATGCGGGCGAGCAAGCGCCGCACTCATCAGCATCTCTCCCGGGCCTAGGGCGCCAAACATACTCAATCAACAAACTTCTAACTGCATTTTCCCTCTTGGGTCTCTCCAAAGTGAAATGTATGTTGTGTGGTCTATAACAGCATTTCCAGAAATCCGGTGTAATTAGTTTGAGTATTTTAATACCACAACAGTGTGATCAAATGTGACCCCGCTCAATCATCGGCTGCATGGTATTTGCACAATTTCATTTTATCTATTTTGTTCAAATAATCTGTTAGTGATAGTAAAGTTGTATTGCACCGTCATTTTTAGAGGTTCCATATCTCACTTTTCTTAATTTTTCACAGTCCATCCTAAGCACATGTGTGATAATAATGTGGGTGATACACCATGCAACACTCAAAACTTGAAATTATAGCTATTTGCTAAGAGGTGATATTACCTCCATTGAAACGGCTGAATCTGTGATCCTCTACCAATGAGCCCGCCTGCCCCCACCTGCGCGCACAGTGACATTGAGCGTCACGGTGGCACAGTGGATAGCACTTGGGCTTCATAGCGAGAAGGTCCAAGGTTTAATTCGACCCCCCGGACCTTTCTGTATGGAGTTGAATGTTCTATACCCATGTCTGAGTATAGGTATCCTCCGGGTTTTCTGGTTTCCCCTACCACTAAAAACATGAACAATAGGTGAGTGTTTGTGAGTGTTACTTGTTAGTGTCTTTTATTGTGGCAATAACACCATATATCAGAATCAACTTTTGAGTGAGTTCAGTTTCATGTTATCCGTAGTTCTGGAAACAGTTTTTGAACAGATTAATTGCGGATTTCAGAGGCCGATCCTTGTGAATAGAAAGTCCAGCTACATTTGCCACATTCTTCGTAGTGGCTGACAATAGCAGAAAAAACAGTATAGCTCGACTTGGTAGATGCAGGACCATAAACTGGACTCAGAAAGGCTGTACATGCTGATTCGCTGTTTTGGTTTCTCCCCCTATCAATCTTCTTCTGAAGGCGGGCTTCTCCAGCTCGTGCCTTGTCATCAATGTAGTTCCGCGTCATCAACGTGAAGCTCTCTAACTTAAAGCTGCACTAACTGACTTTGGGATTTTGAAGCCGCGGACACGCTGGCCTCACTCTTTCTGCTTCCCTCCCCGCACCCACGAAGCTATCGCCCCCCACACACACTCACCGTTGTTGACGGAGCTAGCGTCTCCCAATATGGATAATACATGGATATGGATTTTCACGTGGATGGCGTGACCACAGAACAATAGAACCGGGAAGCGCGGAGGAACGAGACTTTCTTTTGAATGGCTGTTTCGCTGAGTAAGCAGTAACCGGTGACGCAGACAAGGACGTTTCAGGTTAGCTCCGCCGCTTGTTGTGCTAACTCAGCCGTCTATGCTAACAGGGACCTGTAGATTTCTCACGAAAGTGGGGGCTAGTGGTCCGCTGTGATTGGTCACAATCTGCGACCCGAAACGCATTCTCTTCCTTGTTTCATAAAAACTCGATCTAAAATATAATGTCACGCCAGCACAAATCTGCGCTACTTTTTCTTCAAAAGGACGTATCCTAATGCACTGCATGGATATGGATAGCATTTTCGTAATGAATACAAAAATAAAGTCAGTTAGTGCAGCTTTAAGCTTGAGGGATTCAATGAAAACTACTTTGAGCATGTGTATTAAAGCCAAATAGCACTGTAGTGTTGTTTAAAGCATAGAAACGTCAAAAAGCGTAATATACAGTACCGACTTCAATGATATTTTGCCAAAGTGAGGAAAATTAAAACGACCACCACATAACAATCAGGAGGTATGAGTCAGGTTTGTGACAGGTACAAAGACCGACATACAAAGACAGACATACAATGACGATCACACAGTTCATACTATTTTAATGTAAATAATAATATTGCCTTAAAGCATTTATTGGCTAAACTATAATCCAGTGAGTAATCAATACAATCGAACACATTTTTGTCTATGAGTAAAATGAAGGATATGGCTAAGCACTGATTGAGGGTTGTACTCTACTCACTTGCCTGTCTTTGAAAAAGCTCATCTAACAACAGTAAATACATACATATGGAAACTCGTGATAGAACCAAACTGTTTTGAGGGATAGTAACTAGAAGGATTGTAATACATAGTTAAATTGTTGATGGTACCCCAGCTGTAAGAAACACACTTGAAAACTTCCAACACTACCTAATATGTGAAATAAGTAAAAGGACGAATAAGCAATAATAACATTTTGCATTTTTCTCAAAATCATATATAACTGTTGTAATTTTTATTTTCAATTTTTTTAAGCCTATACTGGCCTGTCTGCAGCCACGCCACTCACAGTTATACGTATGCAAATGGTATTAAAATAAAACAACTCTATAACAATATTTTGCATAATATGGTAATAGCGGGGGTAGAAGGTGAACGAACGAGACACAAAAACACACGCACCACCACCAACCATCCAGCCAGCAGCTCCATGCAAAGAGGGCGGGGGGAGCCTGGAGAACTCCCCAGAGACAACGCACTCAGTGCGGGCAGACAGCGCAGCCAGACACCGCTATACTCACTTCCCCAGCAGCGAACCACACCGCGCAGACCTGCGCACAAAAAACATTGGCAAATATGGCGTTGATTTTACTTTTTCACATTTAAAACGAACGAAAAGGGAAGAAGGAAGGAGGAGGAGAGTCTGACCGGGTTGGTGAAGATTGGTGACCGAAAAGGGGAAGGGTTTAGCGGGGAGTCTTTCGCTGTCTTTCCCCTCTGGAGATACAGAACCGTCTAAAGAAGACCCTAAAGATCTTCGCTCCTCCCGGGCAGGATTCATGTCTTTGTGGACGATTCGATATTAAACTTGATGGGTGTTCTAAACGCCACCAGCCCCAATGTCTCCTGTACGTGTAACTGCAAGCCCTTCACTTCACTCCGCAGTATGGACATCAGTAAGTGCAAAAAAACTCATTTCACTTTTGAATATTAGCTTTTACTAAAATTATACTGTTTCGTTTGTATGTATTCATCCGGGGCACATATGGACAACTTGCCCACTGTTTAAATATACATGATCTGGGGTCATGTTGTGCTTTATCAGTGCTGCTGCTGCATCTGTAAAAGACAGAAGTTCCAGATGTAAACAGAAATGCTTATTTAACACTTAAATTAGTTGCTGCGGTTTACAAAGAACTCGTCAGCTGTTTGACTATACATTCACACATTGTTTTTTTTTAACTATGTCTTCATTCATTCTCAGATTGAAAGTTGGAAATTGTGCCACTTTATTCTTCATCGTTCATACAATTATTGTTTTGCCGCATATAGTTATTAAGCTAGCTGTTAGCTTAGATTATTCTAATAACCTGGTGTTTACAAGACAATTAGTTCATTTTGATTTCATGACACTCTAGTTCATTTTTTTACAGTACAGTAAGTATAAAATATAGAAGTTATTGGAGACCTCCGACCTCTCCTTTCATTGTAAATTGTAATATATGTTCAATTTCAGTCAATTTTTACAAACTTTAGCCGACGTTTTTAACAGCATTCATTGATTCCTGACAGCTGCCAAACGGAGCGTGATGTAAATCTTCCTAGCTTCATTTTGTGGAGTTTTTCCCTCGCAAATGAAAAGAGACAGCATAAGCTTTCCCAAAACAGTGCTTAAAGGACAGAGGAAAGTGCGTTAGTGGACGATGTTGGTTAAAGCCGTGTTTTTTCGCTATAAAAGGGGGTTTGAAGCTCAAGTTTATCGCCGCATCGTCATTCGGGCAGAAGTGAAGCCAGACGTCAGCTCTGTCTAGCCGTCTGCTGGTGCGCGTGCTCGTGTTGGGCCCATCCCCCCTGTGTGTGGGTGCGCGCGTATGTGTGTGTATGTGTGCGAGTGTTCAACCACCGATCAATCGTCCTTTAGTCGATTTATTGGTTGAGGAGTGGACATAGTTGACATAATTGTGTTTAGAAAATTTGAAATCAGCAAACATGAGCAGGTATGGAACAAATTCACCCACGGTTTGGTATTTTAAAAGGTACCTATTTTTCAAAACATAGAATGTGACTAAAATCCATCTCACTATGTTAAAAGTAAGGTTCTAAGTTGTAATATACATGTATGTGTGGCCCCTGTCAAAAGTGAACACAAAAGGACCATCCTGCCAACTCTCAGCCCAAAGCATCATATAGTGACTCACAGGGCTCATTCTAAAAGTATGCAAAAGATGACCAGGATTGAAACGATTTAAACAAGCAGGAGTGACTACATAGGTAACTGGGACTAAATAAGAATAACCTGAGCAGGGCTGGACAGAACAGGGCCAGTCTAAATATTGTAGCCTAATAAAAACACATGCTATGCTTTTCAAGTTTATGTAATTTCTAAGAATTATCAAGGTTATTTAATATTGTATTGTGTATGTGAGTGTGTGTGTATGGGGAGGGATAGATCGCCATGCACTTTGGGCTAGTGCACGGCTGAGGTCACCCTTGCCAGCTGGACTGACTCACACAATCGGAACTGTTTAGACTGGGGCCGCCAGCGTTGTTATTACAACTCGGTAGTTACTCTGGCTTTCATCACATTAGGAGATATACGCAGCATCAGTGCAAGCGGCGACTCAATTGCTTTTAGTCATATCTCTTTACCTTTTACTCACTTAAATTATTATAGGCTTGACTGGCGAAGGTGGTCTGAACAAAAGAGTATTGTATCTCCTCCATAAGGTTTTTGCCATAGAAACATAACAGTGTACAGAGGTCGTGAAATGGGTTTTTGCTTAAGGTATATTTGGCTACATCTTTCTTGCTCATGGTGTAAAAACGGATATTAAGCAATTACTGAAATGACCACTTATTTAGTAATTTATTTACTGGAACAGGCGCCTGTGATGCTATAGTCATGCAGACTTGTCAATGATTACTTTTTATTTCCATTTTGTGACAATGAACTTCATTTGACACATTGTGCAAGTCAATAAGGGTGGTGTTTTCTAAACTCAAAAAGCCTCTTGGGAAAGAGACCTCTTCCTTTTGCTGAGGTGTCTTCAGCAATTAAACCAAACTGTTTTATGTGACAATACTTTGCCTTATGTTTGCATAAAAATCTGTGACACAAGTATTGGAGATGGGGATTTTGCATGCGCTTTCCTTTTTACTGCTGTCCTTGTAAATAAATATTCCAAAAAATGTGGAGCAATGGAAGCATTATGATGTGATTCCCTCATGTCCAGGGTGCACTGCGACTTTAGAAGACTGATTTTGAAAGTCCTAAGTTTGCTTTGACTGTTTTATTTTGACACATTCCTACCTCCCCCCTGGTGAAAAGCTGACACGGGTCCACACAACACATCAACCTTTTCACTTGTTGTCCCTGGTCGAGATTTCAGCATTCAACATGGCTTAAAGAAGCTATACCCGATTTTCTTTCTAAGTAGTTCATAAAAATGCTTTTTACTACATACAAGTTGTATTATAATACATAATTTAATTGAAAACTTGAGGTCATTGATTCAGCTGTGTATGAAATGTATGCTGTGAAAAGTGCTGAGTAGAGTCTTAGCGGGACGCTCGTTCTCTTCCACTCACAGAACGAGCAGCGAACAGCCTGCGTCCTCCAATTTAATGACTGCAAATAAAATAGTTAGCTCCCAAAGGTTTCACCGGGACGTGCTAGGCAGGTAACAGCTCAGCTAGCTAGCTGTTTCATGGTAACTTCTGGGTTTTTCGCGATCGCTTTTTGTCACTTTAAAACAGTATTTTTGTCATGAAAACATTGACAGCAAATTCTTAAATCGTCCGTGCATGTGTGTTAAGGATGTATATGTATGTATACTGTATTGTTCGATTAACGTTTAATGGTGTTGATTGATTGATATGTATTTGTTTATTGAGCGTGGCTAACTCGGCTAGCTCCGCTAGCTTCTCTACGCAGACAAGTGTGTAGTGACAGGCGCTGATAGCTTGTTGTACTTGCAAAGTAATGGCAGTATTTTACACACCTGAATTACAAACAGAGATTGCATTGGGGCTGCGGTCATTATTGATTTGAGAGTTCTGTTATCAAGAAAAAATGATCGGAATTGCATTCAAGTCAACGGAGTGTTCTACTGCTGCTGTGAGAAGCTGTATAATAAATTCAAATTAAATATTAGAATATATTCTTATGTTTAAATTAATACATTCGGATGCAAAACTAGCGGTATTCTTTAACTTGTGTTAGCAGTGCATTGCTTTTGTACCATTTCATCAGTGATTGTTGTACAGCTTACAAGAAGTTGTGCTAATGCTAATGTTAGCACACGTATCAGATCGCAAATAAAACTAGGTGGCTCCGTGTTATGAGAGCGTAGGGGAAATGAGAAGCCTGTGAGCAAGTTGGGGGGCGGTGCTAAACATTCAAACATTGCAGAAACTGGTATAGCGCCTTTAAACATGGGTCTACAGGATGAAAATGTATTTAGACAACTACATTTTTCTTGGTGTATCAATGGGAAGAAGAGTTCTGCGATTATATAATGTGGAGACGGATTGACCCCCATATTGAAAACCACTGGGGTAGAAATCATAGACGAATATTAGGCTGTTAACCTGCCCAGACCACCAGAAATTACTCCCTCACTCACAAAGCGATATTTAAGGGTCAAATGTGATGTTGTTGTTACTTCATCTCACTGACAGTGCGCTTGTCCGCTGCACACCGCACACCGCAGTCGGGACAGTTTGAGTGCAATCTGTCTGATGTGGGTCAATAAAACTCCAGTTGATTTTATTAAAGGCTTCGATTGGTCTCGGAGGTGTTTAATGTGTCTGCGGCTTGAGAGCGCTGAGTGTCTTCACCGCAGACTGAAAGGAAAATAGATTGCTGTGAGCCTGTTCTAAGGACTATAGAAAGATGCTAGTTTGGCTTGTAAATATTCTGTCTTGGATTTAGATCTGCTTTTTGATTTGATTTTGTCAAGAGTAGTTATGGTTGTGACTTTCTAGGTCTGGTCTGCTGACGTTTTGAACTATTTTGAACACATTCGCTTTGATATAAAACTTCGTCTATCTTTCCCTCTCAGAGGGGCTCATTGATGTTATAATTTATAAATGTAAAACAATGAGACATCATTAGATATGGCCAAAACAATGGAATATATGGCTGGGTGTGTAAACTTTCAAGCATGTATGACTTAAAGGCCGATTAAGGGAAATACATAAATTAAAGCTTGGCACAACATTTTGCTTATGTTCCTTTAAACTTTGATTACGCAATGTAACTCAAATCTTCATACAGTGGTGATAATGAATCTGGTGTGACTGTTGCTAAGTTCAAAGTGTCCATTGTAGATCCCCCCTGACTCATGCACTTGTGGTTGGCCCACCTGTTCCCCTCCTCTTCTTCCCGGCTCCATCCCTCTGCTTTGAGTTTGGAGAGTGCAGACTTTGACTCACTGCTCTGTGGAGATAATAGCAGGGTGAGCACACATCTGTACAGCACATGTGGACAGGACACATGACTCCAGCCTGAATCACCATTGGTGGTTCTTGCACGTACAGTGGGAGGACAGGAGTTCAGATAAGGACTTTGCTTCAATGCTGTTGTAATATTAGGCACGGAACTTTAGAAGTTATTTGATAGAAGCTATGCACAGAAGCTATACCTGATTTATTTTCTAATGAGTTAAAAAAAAAATGTATTACTACATACAAGTTGTATTAAAATTTGTAATTTAATGTAATTCATGAGCTCATTGATTCAGCTTGTGTATGAATTCAGGCCGTAAAAAGTGCTGAGTAGAAACTTAGCGTGATGCTAGCTCTCCTCCTATCACAGAACGAGGAGCGGCGCTGTTACGA